TTCATCTCCAGCCAATCAAACACTACAGATTCTTTTTAGATAGGATCCTTGAACTCATTTCCCCTTTTATTTTTGAGATTACAACATAATTACATTTCTCTCTTCCCTTTCCTTCTTCCAAACTTTCCCACATGCCCTTCCCATCCATCTCTTCTTGAAATTCATGGCCTCTTTTTTCACTAGCTGTTATTGCTTGCATGTATGTGTATACATATATATTCTAAATATAACTTACTCAGTCCCTGTGATGCTACTTGTATGTTTTCAGGGCTGAGTATTTGGCACTAGATGACCAATTTGTGGGCTCCTCCCTGAGGAAGACCACCTCACCTACTCCTAGCTTTCCTCAGTTGTCTATAGTTCTTTGTGTAGGGTTGCAGTCTCCTGGGCTTTTTCCCATCCTCCATGACATGTCCATTGGTGTCACTCTTGTTCAGCTCACATTTGGGCAGCCATATTGGTGAGACTTTATGGGTGTGACCTCTAGCATTACTAGGAGACAGTCTCACAGAAAACTCCCCGATCTTCTGGTTCGTACACTCTTCTAGAACTCAGGACCACCTGCCCAGGAGTAGCCCTCCATATCAATTGCTAATCGAGAAAATGCCAGCAAGCAATCTGATGGAAGAATTTTCTCAATTGATGGTCCCCTTCCCAGACAACTCTTGCTTGTACCAAGTTAACAGAAAATCCTTGGCAGGGCTCAGCCATTTTCCAGCATGTATGTGGCCCTAGGCCCAGTCTCATGAGCCAGGATTTCCCTACATAGCCCTGGCTGTCCTGGAACTCACTATGTAGACCAGGCTGGCCTCAAACTCAGAGATCCTCCTCCTGCCTCTGCCTCCTGAGTGTTGGAATATAAAACCATGCACAATCATGCCTGACTTTTTTTTTTAAGTTATAACTTTTTGATGATAGTTCTTTTTGTAAATTATGTGTATGTATAGTTGTTGACTTGCTTTCTGTATTTACTTATTTACTTAATTTTTAGACAGAGTCTTATTTGGCCAAGATGCCCTTGAACTTTTAGTTCTTTTGAATTTACGTACTCTGGATTAAGGCATACACCACTATACACCTGGTTTTATGCAGTTGCTGGGGAATCAAACTAGGGTTTCATGTATGATAGGCAAACACTCTACCAAATGAACTACATTCGCAGCCCTTGCCTCTGAGTATATTTAAAGCAAGTCTTGTAAGGAAGATAATGGGCAAAAGAAAAAAGAAGGTGTGTGCCCTGGCGGACTTGGAAGAGTGGCTGTCCTCGGATGCTCTCTCCCCTGAGAGGACTAAAAGCCCTTATCGCTGATGTGTTTGTGTTGCCAGCGTGTTTGTTATGACAGCGAATTCAGCCTTCTCTAGCTCTCTCCCCTGCCGCTGTGGCACAACAGAGAGGCTGTTGCATGGGGCCCTTGTTACTGGCTTTTCCCACCTCCAGAACCACAAGCCAAATAAACTACTCTCACTTCTGAGTTACTGAAGCAGCGAGCCTGTTTGAATCCTCAATCCTTACTTTTGGAAGAGCATTTCTACAATTTAGCAGGATGACTTTGCTAAATTTGCATGGTAATTTGAATCACCAAACTTCTGTCAGATCCCTCATAAATAACAATCAAATCTTCCATTTAATAAGTTTCATGTAGTTCTACTCATAGCTCTCAGGAACGATTAAAGACCTTAGGAACTTTCCAGAACACTGTCATCAGTGACTTACACTGTCCAGTTCCACATGCATAGGAAAGATACATTCACATAACAGTTGCTATTCCAAAATGTATGGATAAAGAGAGAGAGAGAGAGAGAAAAAAAATCCCTATCACATTTTATTAAACCTCATGAATTTAGGGAGTTAGGATTTGGGTTATTGGTACTTAAGCTGGGATTTGAGTTGGTCTGAAGGATACACAATTGGAAGGCTGGAATGTGGTCTCAGTGTGGTGGGACATTTTACATGAAGCTGCCCCATATAGGATGTACCTGGAGAAAACCAGGTACAAGTTTTATGAGCTCTTGTAATTAAGCCCCAGAAACCACGCTGAGTTTAGTTTGTTAGCCACCATGCTAGGAAGACACCTTTAGTGGCAAACTCTTATATTCATGCTTTTTTCATGGTAAACTTTGTGGAAAAAACAGACCTTTTCAGAAGTGTTCCTGCCCACCATCTTAACCTTAGAATACATGAATGGTCCATGACCTCCGGCTAAGTGTATCCATAAATGTCACCACCGTCTTTTTTTGGACTGTGGCCTTAAAATGCACTCTCAGAAATGTGCCCTCTATCTCTAAAGGGCTTTCCTATACAAAAAGTTTATAGGCTTCTTGAGTAAAATCCCCACAGTTGTGTTGTTTTGGGGAGGGCATTGGTTTGGAAATAACCCCAGGGCTCCCCTTACTTGCTGTGACTAATACATCTTTCCTAAATCACTCTTTTATCTTTTGGTTGTACTTTGTAGCTTTGTATTAACCAAGATGTACACTCATTACATATGGTTACAAGTTTTGTTACAGTGTCTTAGTTAACAGGCAGGGTTGTAAGGCCAACCAGGGATTAAAAGAAGGGGAGTTGCATTAGAATCCACTTTTAAAAAATGTTGCAGGAGACAGGTGGTGGTGGTACATGCCTTTAATGCCAGCACTCAAGAGGCAGACAGAAGGATCTCTGAGTTTGAAGCTAGCCCCGTCTACAGAGTTCCAGGACAGCCAGGGCTACACAGTGAAACCCTGTCTCAAAAACAAAACAAAACAAAACAAAACGAAGTATAGGTGTGTGCCTGCTTGTCTATATGTGTACTACAAGCATTTGGGTGCCCATGGAGGTCAGAAGAGGGCATCAGGTTCCCTGGAACTGGAGTTATAGGTGCTTGTGAGTTGCCTAGTATGGATGCTGGGAATTCAATTCAGGACCACTGTATGAGTAGCAAGTGCTCTTAGCCACTGAGACATCTCTCCAGATACTAGAATCCACTTTTTAAAAAAAAGATTTATTTTTATTTTTAAAAATTATGTGTAGGTGTGTGTGTTTGTGTGTGAGAATGTGCAAGTGAGTGCAGCTACCCATGGAGGCCAGAGGCAGTGGATCCCCCTGGAGCTGGGGTTCCAGGTGGTTTGTGAGCCACCTGACATGGGTGCTGGGAACCAAACCTGGGTCTTCTGCAAGAGCAGTAAGTGCTCTTAACTGCTAAACCATCTCCAGCCCCTAGAATCCACTTCTTATGGAGTTCTTGCAAGGCCACACTCTTCATTCAACCACCACAGGTACCCTTTCCTATGTTGGGGTGTCAGGTGGACCCCAGTGCCGGGGACTGAGCTGGGTGGTGCCAGCAAGGCTCCCAAGATTAGGTCCATTCATCTCCATGCCCAGCCTGCCCCTCTGGGGCTTCTGAGGACTGTTTCCTCAAGCCTAAAAAACTGTTGGAAACCAGTGTCAACCTGTGGCATCCTGTCTCAGTTTTCAGTCCTCCTCTGGTGGAACTGAACACTGGCCAGACAGTCGAGAGAAGACACCACGTGCTCACACAGAACCACCTCCTTGGCAAATGGCTGTGATCTCGCTATTTAGGCTCAACCTTACCTACCCTAGAACCAGCCAGAACTTGGCCTCCTTTGGGGGCTCCTCATTCACCCCATGATGCTGTAACCACAAACTTCTTGAATTGTGGTACGTAACACTGTTCTGCAAACTGAATGTAGGAGTCACAAAAACTGAGCAGTGGTTAAAAGGCTTCCAAACGCGCAATGACCGGAAATTACCTCAAACTCAAATGTGTAATGATTCCAAGATGTCTCTGGCAGCACTTACCCATGGTGCATTGTGCAGCTTCACTGCAGCCTTGGTTGTGAATGCACAACAGGTACAGTGTATACTGCCGATGCCATGCAAACCACTGAATGCTGCCCGAGATGCCTCAGGTCAGGCCAGAAACCATTATGTTATGAGCTGCAGTGTTTTTACTGTAATGGTTTAATTACAGAAAACCAAGAATCTTAATATTTTCCCATCATTCCTCGGCATGTATCACGTTATAGTATCTGAATTATACTGGACAAACACACCCAACTAATTAGTATGCAAATCTGCTTTTGACTCTAATAAATGGTAAAATTATGTATATACCAAAGGTGTTTTAAAATGAATTTTTTTCCGATTTATTGTCAGTAAATGTTCGATTTCTGTGGCTATTTTAGATACTTGGAGTCACATTAAAAACTTCTTGCATAGAAAGGGGATTGCCGCCGGGCGGTGGTGGCGCACGCCTTTAATCCCAGCACTCGGGAGGCAGAGCCAGGCGGATCTCTGTGAGTTCGAGGCCAGCCTGGTCTCCAAAGCGAGTTCCAGGAAAGGCGCAAAGCTACACAGAGAAACCCTGTCTCGAAAAACAAAACAAAAAAAACAACAACAAAAAAAAAAAAACGAAAGGGATTGCCAGTGGAAAAAGCCTTGCTCAGGGTCACCTAATATCAGTGCCCCCTTGAGCACAGGATCTTCAGGACCTGGGGGCTCTGGTGTGTCTTGTGCCTCACTCAGTGGCTGTGCTGTCACCGAGGGCGGGGGGACGCACAGCGCACCACCCCAGGCCTCAGGCCAAACTTGGTTGAGATCCTGTAGGAGGCCCCATTCCGCAGATACTGATTCAGACCAAAACTGGGTTATTTGACAGGCAGAGGGCACCAAACACACCAGCAGCCCCAGGTGCACTCGGGACAGCGCTGGTAGGCACTCCTGCTTTCCCAACCGCTGTCCTGGTTGGAATCCGCTGGGGGCGCGGTCTACACCACCTGTGGCCTCCCACCCCACGTCCAGCCTTCCCACCGTCCCTCCCGATGAGCCCATCCCTACACTCCTTCACCTGCTCCCCCATGCAGGTTTGAGACCAGACGCAGGGACATAAAATGCACCTGCGTTCAGCGGCAGGCTCTCAGAAACAACCCTTGCCTCTAGGATGTGTACACGCAGCACACCGAGTTCATACGGACTGCGCCTGCGCGGGACACCCAGGCCTGGGCGGGGCGTGCTCTCCGGCCAGCCTGAGCGCCTCCGCGCTTGCGCAGGTCGAGGGCGGCGGCTCAGGCTTCGGGTGGGCATCGTCCGTTCCTCCCTGGTGTAGCCTAGAATTCAGCGGAGAAACACGGCCGAGGTAGGTTTCTTAATGGACAGCTTAGAGAGCTGGACCGCAGGTGAGCCCGGACGTGCTAGGCACAAGGTCTGCCTTGCATGTGTGTATCTGTCGTCCGGAGGCCTCCGCCCCCTGTGGAGACGGAGAGTGCCCTCTCTATTCCAGCCTCACCCCTTCTCAGCAGCGCCCGCTCTCCCCTCTCCTTTGGTGGTGCCCCGCACTTCCCCAGTGCCTCTCCACTGACTCCCAGAGCCACGCCCTCCCAGGGCCACGCCCACCTACCTCTGTTTCCCCCCCCCGAGCCACGCCCCCCCAAGCCTCTAGACTCCTTTTGCCTCATCTACTTGACCTGGACCCTCCACCTCGTTATTTTCCTTCCTCTAGGCACCCACCTTATCCTGTTACCAAGCTTTTCACTGAAGATGTAATTGTGAAGTATTCGTAATTGTAATTATTACGAAGTGTGAAGTCCTGATCTAGAAGCACGGCATGCATTTAAACAAAGAATTTCTTACAATGGAAGTTAATCCCAGAGCCAGTAAGATGACACTGCCCCTGAAAAAGGAGAATTGAAGAGTAGGAGGGTGTCTGGGCATGCAGATTTCAATTCTGCCAGTGAACATGTCAAGTACTAGCCAAGGGATTTAAATTGGAGTTTAAGCTGTTGAGAGTTCCTTAAAAAAACGATAGTGAAGTATTGTAAGTAAAACAGGCTTCCAGGGAATAAAATTAAGGCCTAGCAGATTAAAGAAGGAAGCATACAGTATTTGAAGTTTTTAATTTTTAAAACCCCCTAAAGCAGCGGTTCTCAATCTGAGGGTTGCAGATCAGATATTTGCATTCCAATTCATAACAGTAGCAAAATTACAGTTGTGAGCTAACAATTTTATGGTTGGAGGTCACCACAACACGAGGAACTAGCTGCATTAAAGGGTCACAGCCTTAGGAAGGTTGAGAACCATTGCTCTAAAGAATTGTGATGATAAACTCCATTTCTGTGCTGTTCTTTACACATACATGGAACTGTAGAGCTGAAATGAATTTAATTATCAAGTATAACAAGCATTTTGTGTTTCTCTCTCTTTTTTTTCAAGTAGACGTGGAGGGGAAAATGCAATAACAAGGCAGCAGTTATGAGGCAGAATCTTACTGAGCTATGGAGACACCAGGTGACTGTCCCGGAAATGAGTCACAGGCCATCCCAGTCCTGGTACGTAAGAGCCATGTGTGTACAGAGAAACAAGTACCAGTTGCAGGTGTGATGTAGTTTTCTTTGTCTCTCAAGGTAGTGGCCAACAGGAGGATGCTTGAATTTAGAGAGCACTGAGGCAGGGGGATGAGCCTAATCCCTAGGTGCCATGCTAAGTGCTGTTATAAACACTTCAGGGAACTTTTTAGGATGCCTCAAATACCACAGTCCTCCAGTGTATACCGTGTTTAGTTGGTCTTAGGCATAGGACCAGGAAAAGGCTTAGTACTCCAGAAGATCCGTGTTTGCATGCTGTTTTTCGCCTTGGGTACGTATATACAGTTTGATTCATGTTACCAGAGGAAAGGTCTCCTTCAATTTTTAGGAATATTGATTATGTACAATTAACAAAATGAATATTCAAATAAAAATGCTTTTGCAAATCAAAGATTTTCATGTCTGTGGTGTCAGCTTCAGCATTTTCTTTCATTCTAATGATTTCCCATTCCTTGGGTTTTAATTTATTTAATTACTTAGCTTATTGAGACAAGGTCTTACTGTGTATCCCTGGCTGGTCTGGAACTGGTGTGGTCTTAACTCACGGAATTATGCCTGCCTCTGGCTCTTGAATCTGGAATTAAAGGTGTCTCCGTGCCCAGCTATTGGGTATGTATGTATGTATTGGGTATTTTTATGTGTAGGAATTTTATTTTTAGTTGGCTTATTTTGTTAATCATTTTTCCTTTTCAGCTGCAAAATGTTTTAATTCTGAGTGCCCAGTTTTTCTTTTGATAAATATAAATATTAAGACAATTACAAGATAATGTTGTTGAATATGTGTTGCGCAGAGATTAAAAAAAACATTTCATCATAGTTGCCTCAGAGCATACACACAAGTAAGATTAACACTGTAGTTAAACCCAGACCCGTTCCTTCTACTTCGAGAGGCAAACAACCGCTTTATGTATGCTTCTGCACCATCTGTACCTTTATGAACTTCTAAGGGTGTCCAGGCCAGCCAGAAATAAACACTGAGGACCTTTATCAATAAAACAATCAGAACAAAGGATCCCTGAACAAAGTGTGCGGTTGCTCTGTGTGTTTTCTTAGGCTTGTGTAGGTGGTATTGCTGTTTCTGCATCTACGTAATAGCATTTTGGCGTTTGGGCCCTGCTGCTGCTGCTGGGCCTCCTGCACATGCTCTGTCTGTATATCCCAGTTTTGTGTAGGTCGGCTGTGGTCCTGCCACTGTGCAGTGGGTTTACATCTCAAAGGACACTCAAGATGTGTTCACATTCACCTTCCCACGGTGCTGCAGTGAGGACCTGTCCCCATATCTGGTGCTTCAGGCTAGATTCCCAGTGGTAGCATTCTGGAGCTTTGCGGGTGGAAGGACCACATACATAGAGTTTCCAGGTGACTCCACAAGTTCACAGATCTTCAGTAGCCCATGATGGTGTCCTAGATAATACTTGAATTGTGGTCAGTTGGGTGGGTTAGAAATGGCTTCTTCTACTTGCCCCTGTGACTTGGGAGTCTTAGTGGTATTGCGACAAGCCTGTCAATCCTGCCCCCTAGCGAAGAATTTGTGTTTTCTCTTTTTTTCTGCACATCAGGGCTAAACAGTTTTCTCTTGTTAAAGAGTCAGTTTTTGTTGAATTTCTCTTTTGTTTTTTATTTGACTGCTGCTTTTATCTTTATTTTATTCTTTTAGGATCCAATCTTCTCATTTTGTGACATCTTGAGGTGGAAGACTGTATCACTGACTTTAAATATTTCTTCTTTAACTTGAGCTTGAAAGATGAACTTTGCCTTGAAATGTTCCTTTATCTGACCCTCATCCATTTAGATGTTCTGTGTTTTCATTATTGTTAAAATATTCTTAATGCGCCACAATGGAAATTAGAAAATTTCTAGACTATTGGAGTATCTTACTTGATTTCTAAATATTAGGGAATTATTTTATCTTAATTATTATTGATTTGTGCACATGCATATGCATGTATGGGCACGCAAATGCCGTGGTGTATATGTGCAGATCAGAGGACAACTTTCAAATAGTTTATCCTTCCTACCTTTTCACAGGATCTGGGGGTTGAACTCAGGTTATCTGACTTGTGTGGGAAGTCTCCCCTTATCTGCTGAGCCATCTTACTGGCCCCACATTTGGGAGCAGAATCTCCCAAATCTCTGTAATTGTAGCGTTTGAAATTTATTCCAGCCTGCTTTGTGGGCCTAGCTGTTTTTCATGAGTAATGTGTATGCCCTTTCAAAGACCATGTATTCTGCAGTTGGTATAGTATTCTGTCATTGTCAATAAGGTCAAATGGTTTTTGATCATCAATCTTTTTATGAGTGTGTGTGTATACATACATATATGTGTGTGTGCACATATGTGTGTGTGGAGGCCAGAGGGACAAGCTTGGGTGTCATCCTCAGGTATACCAGCTACCCACTTTGATGCAGGGTTTCTCATTGGCCTGGAGCTCAATGGTTAAGCCTGACCTGCTTCTTCCAGAGAACTCCAGGAATCCTGTGCCCTGAACACTGGGCTTGCATGTACATACTACTGCGCCTGGCATTTTTTATGTTGTTTGTGACATCTTTTTTTTTTTAGTGTCTGCCTTTTTTTTAAAATTCTGAATGTCTCACATAGACATGGCATTTTTTATTTTACCATATGTTTGTAACTGACAGTAAGATGATTTTTACTCATTTGATAAAAATTTCTCTAAATCACTAAACGATAGCAATTTTTTCTCAGTATTTTTTTTGTTCATCACTGAAGGAAGTCAAGACAGGAACTCAAACAGAGCAGGATTCCAGAAGCAGAGGCTGATGCGTAGGCCATGGAGGAGGGATTCTATGAGCAAGAGATATCGAGACCATGATTGGAAAAAAGTACAGAGACAACTAGCCAAACTAGTGGAAACGCATGAACTGTGGACCAATAGCTGAGGAGCCCCCTGGATAAGCAAGACAGTTGTTTAGCTTGAACTGTTTAGGGGGCCCCCAGACAGTGGGATTGGGACCTGTCCCTAGTGCATGAGCTGGGTTTTTGGAGCCTAGTGCCTTTGGTGAGACACTTTGCGCAGCCTTGGTGCAGGGAGGAGGGGCTTGGACCCACCTCAACAGTACCAGGCTCTGCTGACTCCCCCATGGGAGACCTTGCCTTGGAGGAGGTGGCAATGAGGGTTGGGTTGGGGGGGAAGGCTTGGAGGCGGGAGAAGGGAGGATGGGAATCTGTGGTTGGTATGTAAAATGAATAGAAAAATCTCTTAATAAAAAAAATATATGAGAAAAAAAAAAAGAAAGCAGGCTAAGCAAACCATGGGAAGCAAACCAGTAAGCAGCTCCCCTCCATGGCCTCTGCATCAGCCTCTGCTTCTGGGATCCTGCTCTGTTTGAGTGTCTGCCTTCTTATGGAGTATTTTAGTTAATTAACATTGAATGTAATGAGTGGTACAGTTTTATCATATAGCTATTTGTTTTCTGTTTGTTACATTTCTTATTTATATTTTTTCCCATTTCTGCCCAATTTTGGGTTAATAAGACAATTGGTATAACTTTATGTATTGTATTTATTGGTTTGCTAACTATACCTTTTAAACATTGCCTTAGTCATTCTCCAGAGAGTTGTCCTGCACATTCTTAACCCATTCTAGACTTTCTACTTTACAGTATACAAAGCTTACACGTTAGTTGTATTTTCCAGTTTCCAATCCAGGGTAACGTACATGAGTTCACATGTGCTGTGAACCCCAGAAGTGATGATCACTTCTGGCGTGACACTGAGAAAGGTTTGTAGTGAAGTATGAGAAGTGGTTTCCTGCATTCTTAGTTTCCACGTAGGCTCATTCCCTTCAGCCTCAACAGCCTGTTTCAGTGGTTAGCAGCATGAATTTATTGTGATTCATTATGACAACCTTGGTTTGAATGAAAACATGTTTTGCTTTAATTTCTTCAACACAGGGACTCATGTTATAGCCTGGCCTGGAACTCACTGTGTAGACCAGCCTGACCTTGAGTTCACATAGCTCTGCCTGCCTCTGCCTCCTGAGTGCTGGGATTAAATTTGTCCACCACAATGCCTAGCTCTTGCCTTCGTTTTTGAAGATAGTTTATATTCTTTCCCATAGAGGACCGTGTTTCCTTGTCTTCTGCCCATTATGTTGGGTGTGCCACTCTATTGTCCTCTGCCTTATTCCTTTAAGACAAGGCCTGTCACTGAACTGGGGGGTAAGGTGGCAGCCAGTAAGCTGTAGTGATCCACTCTCTTCCCTCCCTGCAGGGCTGGGGTTACAGGTGCCTGTGGCCACACCTGGCTTTTTATGTGGTTGTTGGTTTCCAAACTCAGGCCCTCATATATATACCAGACATCTTGCTCACTGAGGCATTTCTCTTGCTCTTGGCCTGACTCTGAGTTTACAAATTATAAACAAAATAAGTAGAAGAGAAATCTATTTGGAAAAACATTTGCCCAGGATCTCCGAGATCTGTATTATAAAAAGAGTTCATTCAATCTCATGGGGGTTTGATAGGGAAACAAAATATCTAAAGGATAGAATAAGTAAGTATATCTTTTACAGAAGATCAGACTCAAGCAGCAATCAGAGTATATAAGTGAAACCCAGAAGACAAAAGCCCTGAGAATGTGATGGAAAAAGAATTGAAAGTAAATAGAATCCTTTTGCGTCAGTTTCTGGCATGAGTGGAAACATTGGTGATGACTGGTTGCCAAGTGTTGAGGCAGAGGGCACCCCACTTCTCAAAGTAGGCAGTGGTGGGCCCTCAATTGGAAGAGTATGACATCTTGAAAAAGGTTTACCCATTGAGCCTGGTGGTCTGTACCCAGGAATAAAGTCTTTGTATAAGGATATACATGCACAAACTTTTTGTGGTATTTTTTTTATGGTGGTAGAAAATGATACCAAGAAAAAGAAGATGGCCGAAGAGTCTAGCAGAATTCAGTGTTTTATGAAAACATTAGAGTTTTGTACAAGACATTGTATAAGAAAAGTAAACTGCAAAAAAAAAGTGGGGGAGAATGTAAGGTATTCACAAAAAAGCTATGTTGAAAGGGAAACATTTTCTTAAAGAAAGGAGAGAGGTAAGGATAGAGGGAGAATGAGAAAGAGAGAGGGAAGAGATGGGAGGGAGGGAGGGAGGGATGGAGGGAGGAAGGAAAGGAGGCTCACATGCACTTGTGACTGAGCCTAGAGCAGGTCCCAAGGGTTATTTAATAGGGATTATTAGAAAGTGTGACACGATGGGTGGAGGGCAAGCCAGCAGAAAACATACTATACCATGGCAAGTCGTGGTGCTACAATACGGAAATGCCAGGAGTACAGATAGCAATTAGCAAAATTAAAACAGGGCCAATAAATGCATAGAGAGTTGTGAATGGCCACACTAAGGTAGGTGAGTGGAAATGCAAAATGCTAACTGTCACCCATCAAATTGGCAGGGATAAAGTGATCGGTTTCTATTATTTCTATTATTATTTCTATTATTAATGAGGGGAATTAATCCTTATGATTGGTGGAGCAAGTCTCACTTTGTATAGCCCTGGCAGCATTTGGTGATGTGGTGAAAGTCTTGGGCAGGGTGTGGTGATGCACACCTCTAATCCTGGCACATTGGAGGCAGAGACAGACACTTGAGGCCAGCCTGTTCTACACAATGATTTCCAGGCCAGCCTGGTCTACACAGTGAGCCCCTGTCTCAAAATAACAAGAAACAAACAAAAAACCCCAGACAACAAGGAAAAAATGATGGTCTTGGCCAGTTTTACAGTCCTGGAATTTATTCTCAGGAATTCCTCAGGTACATGCAGGATGATTTGTGTTTAAGAAAATTAATAATTGACAGTAGAAGAAACTGAAAGGAGTCTGAATATTCAAATGTAGGAGATTGGATAAGTAAGTTCTGATAATTCATAGATTGGAGTATTACACAGTAACCAGAAATGTGATGGTTTTGTTCTCCATTAGGTACATCCACACAGGTAAAGCTACATCCTTGACTGATACAGAAAACAATTTCTGCATGAGTCAGAGTGAAGCAAAGTGAGTGAGTGAGTTTACTAAACACACATAAGGGAAAGTGCATACTTTAGATAAAGCACTGGCACTTTGAGAGAGGAACAGGTGATCATTTGGACTTTTAAAGTCACATTGTTTAAAGGGTGTAATTTATGAGGAAGTTTAAGGAGTTTAAAAATTGAGTAGAGTTAAAAAAAAGAGACATGAACTGGCTTACTTATTTTTCTTAGAAGAGTTTTTGTTTGTGATTGGAACCATAAGGTGGCTTTATGAGGCACACTTTATAATTATGGTTGATGGAAATGTACTGATATGGTTAAACTTAAAGGCCATGAACATTCAGGTCCTAAGTAAGCATAGCTTGCTGTTTTTAACATCATCATTTGAGAAGATAAACATTATCTGTTAATCTGCTAGGTAGTTTTGATTTTGTTGGTTGTATTGAAGTTACTTTGTCTTTTTTAAAAGTTCCTTTATTTTTATTTCATGTATACAGGTGTTTTACGTACATGAATGTGTGTGTGTGTACCACATACATGCAGTGTCTACAGAGGCTAGAAGGTCTCAGATGTCTTGGGACTGGAGTTACAGATGGTTGTGAGCCATCATGTGGGTGCTGGGAATTGAACTTGGATCCTTTGGAAGAGCAGCCAGTGCTCTTAACCACTGAGCCATCTCCCCAGTCCTGTATTGAAGTTCCTGACTCTCAGCCAGATTTTGGTGTGAGGGCCTTCTTTTCCTTCCCACACCTCCCTAATATCCCATTTTCCAGGCCTGCTTTAATGGGAAACAATGCGTATGGCCTCAGTAGTGTTGATTTCAGTATGTTCTATGTAGGATGTGGTGCTGGGTGCTTCTGAATCAGGAAGGATAAATAGCAGTGTATTCATTGTTATTTCTCACCTGGAATGAGGTTACAAGATACCTTTTATTCTCTGTTTTGTATTTTTATACATTGCTTAAGTAGATTACTCCTTTGTTTAGGCTAGGGTATACATATCGGGACAAGATTACATCATTAGGCTACAATATTTGTTTTAGACCCTGCCACCTTCAGTCTCAGTCTCTCTCTAGGTTTATTTGCTTATGTATATTGGTATTTTGTGTGCACACCAGAAGAGGGCATCAGATCCCATGGGACTACAGTTATGGATGGTTGTGAGCCTCCATGTGGTTGCTGAGAATTGAACTCAGGACCTCTGGAGGAGAAGTTAGTGCTCTTAACTGCTGAGCCATCTCTCCAGTCCCCAGTCTATGTCTTTAAGGCGTGTTTATTTTGATAGAAGGTGGCCATTGGGCACAGGACAGAGACTTCCTAAGTCTCAGCAGCATGGGTCTTAGCTGGGCTGTTTGTTGGTGAGATGAAGGCTTATACTTGTTTCCAGCACTTTCCATAGGCTCTTTCTGTCTGTCTAGTGTCATTGCTTGTAGGTCTGAAAAGGTCCCTGGTGTCTAGCATGCAATGGTATCTCCCTTACTAATGGAGTATCACTCTTGGAGAGCAGAACTAGTAAAACTAAAGACCAGCTCCCCTTTTTTGCTGCTTCTGTTGACATTCTCTGTAGGATGGAAGTCACCCTGTCTTACAGATACAAAGGTGGACTGGAGGTGACAACACTCAAGTATGCTAGTGAAGGTGACTCAGATGATTTGAATCACATGACTCTTGATTTGAGACAACCTGAATCACGTGATAGAGAGAGAAAGGCATACACAGACAACAAAGCTCACAATGCCGTACTTGGGTCTCTCCTTGGTGGTGGCAGGAGGAAGACCCTGTGGATTATGGTTGTGAGATGCAGCTCCTGCAGGACGGGGGACAGTTGCAGCTCCAGCTGCAGCCAGAGGAATTCGTGGCCATTGCAGACTATACTGCCACCGACGAGACTCAGGTATCTGTCATTACTCACTTTACCGTGACTTATGAATCTCAGCATATTTCACGGTAAAATTTATGTTCCCACAATTAAATGAGATCTGTGTGTGACTGTTCACTTCTTGGCCTAACAAACTTCCCCAGTAGGATACAAAGATGCCTGCAGAAGGATGGGGAAGTGTAAACAGATGACTCTCTCCTGTCTGCCAATTCCTGAATAACCACTCAGAGGCTTATATTAATTATAAATGCTTGGCTGGTAGCTCAGGCTTAGTAGTAACTAGCTCTTACACTTAAATTAATCCATAATTCTTATCTATGTAGAGCCACATGGCTTGTTACCTTTTCTCAGTATGGCATTCTCATCTTGCTTCCTCTGCATCTGGCTGGTGACTCTGACTCCGCCCTTCCTCTTCCCAGAATTCTCCTAGTCTGACTCTCACACTCAATCTCTTCCTGCTCAGCTATTGGTCAATCAGCTTTATTATTAACAATGAGCAACACACATTCACAGTGTACAGAAGGACATCCCACAGCAGGGAAGCATCTCCCTGCTTGGAAAACATGGTATAAAGCCCTGTTGGTCATAGGACAGCGAGGCTATTGTGTGTTCTTGAATTGTAGGAGCACATCTGTGGAGTCTCCTAACTGAATCAGCCACACATAGCTTCCTGCCTTAAAAAAAAAAAAGTGTTAAATAAGGGCTGGCAAGATAGCTCAATGGGTAAAGGTGCTGGCTGCAAAGACTAACAGCCTGAGCTGGGTCCCTGGAGCTTACCTGGTAGAGGGAACACTAACACACACACACACACACACACAAGTATATGTAGGGAAAGAATGTTGGTTAGATTGTATTCTTTCTGATGGAGGCCCCATACAACATTTTTATCTTGCTATTATTTTTTTGTAGGTTGTCGGTAATCACTGAGGTCATTGTGATTGGGTCACCAACAGTGGGACTTATTACCTAGTTATTGGTGAGATGCCAGTCAACTGGATTCCCTCTCGAATTATAACTTTTGTCTGTCTCGGTGACTGTTTTCCAGCTCAGTTTTTTGAGAGGAGAAAAAATTCTCATCCTGAGACAAACCACAGCTGATTGGTGGTGGGGTGAGCGTGCGGGCTGCTGTGGCTACATTCCTGCCAACCATCTTGGGAAACAGGTGGAGGAGTATGACCCAGAGGACACTTGGCAAGATGAGGAGTACTTTGACAGCTATGGAACTCTGGTATTGCTTTCCAAATTCTCTGTGGAGCTGGTGGGTCCTCCTAGTGTTCAGAGCAGAGATGCAGATCTTCCTGTCCATTTAGAGGCACCAGGGCCTTATTAAAACATTCGGCTCTGTCACCATGGAATGAACGCAGCTGTGCATGAGTGACACTTGATGTGAGTGTGCTTATGTATGGACAGAACACTACGTATGGACATAGACATCTGAAATTCATGTGCCTCTCACATATCTCAATACGTTTTTCTTCTCCTTAAAAGTAAAAATAATTTAAAAATGTAAAATCCCTTCTTTTGATGGCCTAATTGACCTGTGAGCTGTCATGTTCTGACTCTGGCTAAAAATATTATTAGAGCAAGAAATTCTGAACTTCCCTTCTCTCGGTGTTTAAAAAAAAGTAGTCTGTTTCACTTTAAAATTGAAATAGAAAAATTATGTAAATCAACCAACAGCAATACTATGTGAAGTCTTTTTATTCCCACTGTGAAGGTCAGTAACCCTGTGGCCAAGGTACAACCTTGCTTAAAATGAGATTAAAAACTAGCTACTTGTAAGGTGAATGTTACAGACCGGATGCTGCGTGGAAAAAGGAAGAGCTGGACTATTGCCTTAGTCACTTTTCTGTTGCTGTGAAAAGACACCATGAGTGAGGTAACTCATGAAAGAAAGCATTTAATTGGGGGCTTGCCTAGACATGCTATATTTCAAGACTAAATCTTTTTTTTTTTTTTTTTTTTTTTTTTTTGGTTTTTCGAGACAGGGTTTCTCTGTGTAGCTTTGCGCCTCTCCTGGAACTCACTTGGTAGCTCAGGCTGGCCTCGAACTCACAGAGATCCTCCTGCCTCTGCCTCCTGAGTGCTGGGATTAAAGGCGTGCGCCACCACCGCCCGGCTCAAGACTAAATCTTAAAACACTGTGTATGTCTATGATTAAAGCTTTTCATCCATGGGCTGGAGAGATGGCTCAGCTGGCAAGAGCACTGGCTGCTCTTCCAGAGGACCCGGATTTGATTCCCAATCTCTACATGGCTCACAACCACCTCTAATTCCAGTTCCAGGGACTCTGACACCTTCTTCTGGCCTCCTTGGGTACTAGGCATGGACATACATGCAGACAAAACATCCATACACATAAAATAATACAAACGAGTCCCCCCCCCCCCCCCCACACACACACAAACAAAACAAGAGAGCTTTCAGTCCCTTCAGGAAAGGTACGTGCCGAAAGAGACAAAGGCACTTCCGGCCTTTGGGCCCCCCAGCCCGCAGCAGCCGCTCAATTCCCTTTCAGCAGCGGTGTGTACTTAACGCGCTTGTTGTTAGAGCAGCTAGGATTCTGGGCTAAACTATGAAAACCTTAATGTGCAATTTATCCGTTGTTAAGAATAAGGTATTTTGCCTTAGTTTTTCCTATGTCCAGCTCCAGTTTTGGACCGATGCTGAATTTACCTCACATTGCATTTCTGGGGTCTCTTTCTGGACTCCCCGTTCATGCTTTTTCACAGCTCCGACCACCAGCACAGCTCTGTAAGGTCCGAGCTCCCATCTTTTGCATTTTCCTTGTAGTCTTGGGCATTTATGGCTTTGAGGTTCTTATCATTTCGTGCTTTTCTCCATGGCAAGCCTGGTACCATGGAGGTGGGCACGTAATTAAAAAGAAGCAATGGCTCTTATGTTGACCTCACCTCTCCTGGTGTGTAGGTCTTGTTTTGTGTTGCAGAGTTTTAAGGCGCTTATTGTACAGGTGTTCACTTTCTTACTAAGTTCATCTGTGGGTACGCTTGGTTCATTGTTACTGTTGGGTGATGGTCTTCATGACCGCCTGCCGTCCTGTCCAGCTGAGCCGGCTGGTGAAAGGAGGGCCCTGCATCTCTAGCTGTACTTACTCTTCTGTTTCCTTTGGTCGTTCTGTGCGTTTTGAAGTTCTGTTATTGTCCCTAAAAGTATTTAGAATCTGATGCCCATTTGATGAATCGTCTCTGTGTTCTTGGAACATTCTTCAGCCTGAAGTGTCTTGTCTGATGTCATTGCTGCCACTGCGGCTCCACCTGCTTTATTTTAGGATGTCACATTCTCCATCTTTTTGTTTTATATTTAAAGTGAGTTGCTTGTAGGCAGGAGAGTGGGTTTTGACTTTTTAATCCATGCAGACATCTTCCTGATGGAAGATAGACTGAGCTCTATCCCTTTGTATTCATTTTATGGTCATGTCATTGCGAGGAGCCATGGGGGCTACTGTTTGTGTTGGTGCCACTTGGCCATTGTCTGGGTGACCCCGGAGAGGCAGCAGCCCCAGTTCTGTGCTCATCCTGCTTCTTGTCTCCCTCCAGTGGTACTTCAAGGTTGGTTTTATAGTTTGGGTGTGTTGCAGTGGCTCAGCCTTGCCTGCAGCCAGGGTTCGTGCTAGCCTTCGAAGGGGCCTTCTCTGCTTCTTCGAGATCAGATGTTTTCCCACCTCAGAGTGTAGTAGGGGTGGCCAGAGCATTGTTGACCTCCCTCCACTGTCGTTTTAGTTCTTGCAAGGAATTAAGTGCTAAGCTTGAGTAAAGATTGGGGGGAGACCCTGTTGCCCCACTGACACCTGCTGTAATATGTCCAGTGTTTTCTCTTGATGGATACCTGGTGAGGATGCAAAGTCCTTCTGGCCTTGGGAATTATGTGTGGGGATGTTTGCTCTTCTCTTATATGTGGTCCACATTCATTTTCTGCTCGTCTGACTAACTTGGGGAAGAGTACACTGAAGGCCGAGAGGTGGTTCTGTTCTGATCCAGGACAATTCCAGAAACTTTGTTTCCTTTCACTATCCGCTGTTACTCTTGTTATCTCTTGGCATGTTTGATCTTTTGATTTTAGGGCCCATTTGTTGCTAATAATTTTAGAAATAGGGGTGGGTGTATGTGCCATGTTCCTGATTATCTGTGGTTCAGGTCCAGGCCCTTGCAGTGACTCCTGACATGTTGTTTTTAGAAACTTCATCTGGAAATGTTGGCTGACCAGCCTCGCACAACGAAATACCACAGTGTCATCCTGCAGAACAAGGAGTCCCTGAAGGACAAGGTCATCCTGGACGTGGGCTGTGGCACTGGGATCATCAGCCTCTTCTGTGCCCACCATGCACGGCCCAAGGCAGTAAGTGTGTCTGCCTCCATCTGTGCCCAGCTGTGGGCCATAGTGGTGGCTGGCTTGACAGGCGGCCACCATGTGGTTCGCTCTCAGGGTGATTTTTTTTTTTTTTGGCCTTTATATACCTGTGTGATTTAGGCTTGTGGGAGGGAAGTAGGCAGCTGGTCCATTTGTGGCTGAGACTGTGACATACTGTCCTGGCCACGAGCAATGTAAGTGGATCAAGACAGAACAGAAGTGACAGTGATTCTGTTAGTGGGACATTTGCGAGATGTTACTTTAGTTCACTATGGAAAAAGGTGGGTGCATATGACTGTGCTGGGCCGCATAGTTGACCTGCTGCAGTCCAGGCCTTTGGCTCTCTGGTGTAGACCTTTTTCTCCCACCTTTTAGGGACTATTTGGGCTGAGCTGTGCTATGGCCTCATGACCGCCTGACAAGGTGGTCAAAAGGCCAGTTTACAGTGATGACTGTACCTAGCCACTGCCCATCCAGGAGCAACATCCAGATTCTCTTCCAGTTCTCCCTTGAGCACCAGATGTGGTTGTCCCTGGGCCGGAGATTCTAACATACTCATTGTTTGTTGCTGTTCTGGGCACTTGTTTGGTGGTTACGGGTTGTATGTATTATGTGGGGGAGCCACCCGGTGGAGCTGAGCTTCCGCCCGCCTGCAGTTGTGTTTGTGTTTCACGGAGGAGGCTCAGGCAGGAGGCAGGACTCAGCAGTGCTGCTCTTTCCAGTATACTGTCCAGGCCACAGGGACGCTGTACGGCTTGGCACATCATAGGCCTCCGTTCACCATGCAGCGTTCTCTGTCATCTCTGTCATGTACCTGTGTGTGGGGTCAGGACACGTGCTAACAGGCGCCCTTACCGCCGCAGGTCTATGCTGTGGAGGCCAGTGAGATGGCACAGCACACAGGCCAGCTGGTCCTGCAGAACGGCTTTGCTGACACGATCACTGTGTTCCAGCAGAAGGTGGAAGATGTGGTGCTGCCCGAGAAGGTGGACGTGCTGGTGTCTGAGTGGATGGGGACCTGCCTGTTGGTAATACCTAGAATGTGGTGGTCTGTGGGTGGTGGGGATCTCATTTCTTCTAGACCTAGCACCCTGGGCCCATCTGAGGAATCTTTAAAAATCATAATTAATTTTTTTTTCTGAAGTGAGGTGTTGTTAATTTATTGAGTGATATTGGCTCTGTGTCTGGAGTCTTAAAAACAAAAACAAACACACAATCAAACACCATGAGACTTACGTCCAGAATGAATGTGACTCTCTTCTGGGCTCTCTGAATTACCTGCTCTTTCCTGGGGACTCTTCAGAAGTCCAGGACTGTTTCTTCAGTCACTAGTGTTTCCATCTTCCTGGCTCCGTTTGCTGTAGGCTAGCCCTGGCACTGTCTGTGGACTCTCATTGAGGCTGTCATGTCCCTAGGACTTCATGGAAGGACTGGGACGGACCTGGTTACTTGTTCACATATCGTTCAGGTCCCTCATCACTCATACCACCAGCCAAGTGCTATGTATATATAACTAAGTATCTATACGTCTTGTATATTAGGCAGGATCAGCAGTGGTTATGTGTTTATCCCTGTCATGCTCGGCTTGGCTTTGTGAAACCCAAGGCATTTTATGCTGTATCTCAGCCTGAAATTTAGCCTTTGTATTGAAGTTCAGAAAATTAATCTCTGGACAGTAATTTATGCCTCTGGCAAGATCCCCGTGAATAGAGTGGTTGGTGAGTGCTGCCCTGCTGCTCACGGTGCAGACAGAGGGAATGGCGTTGGACTTTGGACCGATTGGAGTTATTTTGTCAGAAGATGAAAGTATTTGGAGACTTGATGTCTATGAGATGTGCTGACCTGTTAATAACATCTGTAGATTCATACGATGGTGGAGAAAAAGATGGATGGTGCTGTTAACCCATGAAATGGGCATCAGCCTTCACCCTAAGAGCCGTGTTAATCCAGTAAATACTTGTTTACCACTTGCCTCAGGTGCGGGGGCAGGAAGAGGGTAGAGTAAGCCTGTGGCAGGAAGGTTCCTGCTACAGTCTAGCTTTCATTGGGGTTGGGCGGCAGGGGTGGGAGAGGAGGCATCTCAGAGGTCCAGAGACGTGGAGCCCAGTTCCCTACCAATGCTTGATCCAAAGATATGGAAACTATGTCTCATGTGCCTGCATGGAGGCTATGCTGGGAACCTGATGTATAGTCAGGGTCCAGGAAATGTTGATTTCTTCATGAGGGGGTATCAGGAGTCAGGGATTTCAATGGGATGTGATGAGGAGGCCATGCCTTGCAGCTGACTGGAGAGAGGAGGGCATGCTGGGGTCAGCTTGTGCACTAGGTGGGGGGGGGGGGCGTTTTTACGGTTTTGGTAGAGAACGGAGAATGCTTTTCTCAGCGCAGCAAGGGTGCAGCTGGAGGGGGCCAGTGAGTTTGTCAGCTGTAGGCGCAGCCACGCCTCGGGGAGGATTGGGGGATCTCTAAGGAGTCAGACTGTGTGCCGCTCAGCAGTGTAGACTGGTACAGTTCTTTAAAGCAGAATAAGCCAGGATATGTCAAGTTGTAAAATGTGTGTGTGTGTGTGTATCTTTAAATGAGGGTCTCGCAAAATGGCTTAGCTGGTAAAGGTTCTGCCATCAAGCCTGACGCCCTAAGTTTGATCCCTGGGACCCACACAGTCGAAGGAGAGAACCAGCTCCTTCAAGCCGTCCTCTGCCTGTATCCACACACAAATGCATACGTTAGTTTAAAAATTCTTTAAATAGGATTATTGTAGCTGGAATTTTCTTTGGGCCACCAACCAGCTCCCAAAGAAAGACACAGAGACTTATTAATTCTGAATGCTCAGCCTTAGTTTAGGCTTGTTCCACTAGCTCTTTCAACTTAATCTAACCTGTTTCTGTTCATCTATGTTTTGCCTTGGGCTTTTTTTTTTTTTTTAACCTTTCTTTCATTCTGTATATCCTACTTTCCTGCTTCCTTTATGTCTGACTGGCCCCTGGTGTCTCCCTGGTGTCTCTTTTTCTTTCTTCCTCCAGCTTAAACTCCTCCTCCTACTTACTCTCCCTGTCCAGAAGTCCCACCTATATCTCCTCCCTCACTATTGGCCATTCAGCTTTTTATTAGACCAATCAGGTGCCTTAGGCAGGCAAGGTGAAATAGCAAAACATTTTTACATAGTTAAACAAATACAACACATCTTTACATAGTTAAACAAATATTCCATAACATAAACAAATACAACACATCTTTACATAGTTAAACAAATGTTCTGCAAAAGATTATCATAGGAATAGATGTGATCAGGAATCTGTGTTCAGAAATGTTCATGATGGCTGTGTGTGATACATACATCTATAATCACAACACATGGGAGCTGGAAGCAGAAGGATGTGAGGTTAGATTGGACAATATTTACCAAAAAATGTTCAAATGAAAAAAATTACGAACAGTAGAAACAGTTATGACAAATCTATATGACAAAAAATATTTTAGAATTTTTTTTTAACTAATCTTAGCCAAATAACATGATTTAAAAAGACAGACTGTGTGCAAACTGCATTTACCTTTGCATCTTTGAGGTGTATAGAGCAGTGGCCTGGCTTCAACTCCAGATATGATGCAGGGAGCCCCTGACTGTCCTTCCCACTGCAGGGCAGGTGTGGGCAGATGCCAGGGAATGTTGCTCCGGACTGAGCTAAAGAACCTCTGAGCTGGCCCTGATTGAGCATTCTCCTTCAAGTCCCCTCTGGGTCCAGGGGTGAAGCAGCATAGGTAAAGTGGACCCGTTCCTCTGAAAGTTGCCATCTCCCACGGTTCACCAAGATGCAGTAGATAACCTAAATGAGCCTGGAGCAGTGCAAGCTGTGTTCAACAAAAACCCCTGTAGGCACACCTGTACAAGTTCTGATTATAATTAACTCACACTCTGAACAACCCATGTCCCTTCAGAGGCTTAATGGATATTCTGGGAAATCCTTACAAAGGAGCCACCACAAAGCACGTGATCCTGTGGACAATCCCAAAGAACTACCACTGAATGGAGGAGGCCAACCTTAAAAGGCTACTCCTCAGTGTGTGACTCCACTCAGATGACGAGGAGGGTTTCCTGAACTCCAGGGTGGGAGGGCATGGTCACCAGTAGATGCTTGTGTCAGTGGAGCTACTGCCTGTCCTGACATGGCTGCAGGCACACATCACATGGGTGCCCAAGTTCATATAGGCTGTATGCCATGACAGGGCAGTTCTGTCTGATAACGGAAAATAAAATTTAAAGACCATATCTCTGTTTTGTATGTGTGCATATTTGTAAATGCATGCGGAACAAAACTTGAAAATAATACCATTCCTTCAGGAGCTGGGTTTTCGTGTAATTTTAATTGTGTTTATTTTCCTAGATTGCATACATTCTAACGGTCTTTATTTTATTGTAACACTTGAGGAAATTTCTAAGAAAAGCCAGGCCTTCTGTTGTTTCCTATCTGTGACTGCGGAAGGTGGAGGGACCTCTGGCTTTAGCGTTCAGCCCCTGTCCTGACTCTCATTCCTGAGTTTGAATTGAGTTTAGGTACAAATGGAAGTCTGGTGTGTGTGTGTGTGTGTGTGTGTGTGTGTGTGTGTGTGTGTGTGTGTGTGTGTGTTGGTCCTACAGATTCATAAAGACGACAGGCTTCCTTGATGGACTTCCTGAGGGCTGGGGGTGAGGTAGGGTGGGAGAAGGTGAAACATCCGTTCTCCTAAGGCGACCATGGTTATGTGCTTGACCAGAGGGTTGTGAAAATGCTGGGAATACTCCACACGAACTAATTTTGTTTGTTAGGTCGAGCCATGCAGCACTGAGGGGCACTTTAAAATCTAGTGGTGTGGCTCCCGGTGCTGGTCTGGGACAAGTATAAGAATTTCTGTTGACTGTTAGCTCCCCTTGAATCCCAGTTCAGTGGGAAGTGACATGATTCCAACCCAGGCTGTGATACATACGTTAACAAAGTCATGAGAGTGTAGAATAAACCCCAAGTTCTCAAGTGTGGTTCACTGACCTGACTGAGAGACTTTGGGGGTAAAACTGAAATTCCACAATGTAGCATCCTGGCTGTGGTGTGTGAGCCCTCAGTGATGTGCTCACGTCCTTTCCTCCCGTGCAGTTTGAGTTCATGATCGAGTCCATCCTCTACGCCCGGGACGCCTGGTTAAAGGAGGATGGCGTCATCTGGCCAACCACAGCCGCACTGCACTTGGTGCCCTGCAGCGCTGAAAAGGACTACCACAGCAAGGTTCTCTTCTGGGACAACGCCTACGAGTTCAACCTCAGTGCACTCAAGTAGGTGTGCGTGACCGCTTGCAGGGTTGACCACTGTGTAGCTAGGCTCCTGGCAAGAGGAGAGGAGCTGGGTGGGCAGCCAGTTGATGAGGGTGCCACCTCTGCTTCTGAGAGATAGTCTCGCTAATCTGTGGGAGACAGTCTTTCCTCCTTCATGAATGTTGCACCTTATGCATCCTCCAGTGACCCAGAATGAACTCGGAAACATTGAGATTTGTCTTATTTCCATCTCCTTTGCCTTCCCTTGTGCACCCTCCTGACCCCTGAGATGGTTATGTGCGTGGGGAACCTGTTATAGGTGGGAAGTTATAGGTGCCTCCTTCCGCCTTCCCTCCAGTCTCAGTTCTGGCCGCAGTCTCAGTTCTTGTATTCCTGGAGGGGAATTCACATCAGGACACAGAGCAAGCAAGCAGTCAAGGGTTATTTTAGCCTATGCATAAATAAAAATGGGTAGTAACTGTACCCTCCTGGGCAGAGGATGGATTGAGCCAACTGGCAAGAGTAACAGGCTCCTCTAGTATCTGGATTGCCCACCCATGGGGTGGACTGAGGAGGTCTCTTTCCTAGATTAGATGGAGGATTTCTTAGGAGCCATCCTTACCCACAGTGTTATCTGTTATAATTAGATGCGTTAGATGCAAGAGCAGGTAAAAAAAGAGGCTGGGTGTGGTGGCACACGCCTTCAGTCTCAGCACTCAGGAAACAGGCGGATCTTTAGGAGTTTGAGGCCAGCCTGCTCTACATCGCAAGTTCCAGGCTAGCCAAAGCAACATAGTGAGACTGCACCCCCATCGTCCCCCAAAGAGTATGTACAAGGGTGTAACTTCCCATAAAGTTGAGAAGTTTACTAGAGGAAAGGGCAATGGTGTCTTTGCATGTGCTCATCACAGCATGCTGGGAATGGCTCTGTTTCCCCCATAATCCTGTTCTTCTTTCTTGGTCAGCTTGGCTATCTCATACTCAGCTGCAAGGGTCTTCTGCCTAGAGGGAGCAACATACTGCTAATGTGATTCACAGGACCCAGGACCAGTCCCAAGCTGGCAGCTAAACTTGGCATTGCTGCCTCAGTGGTTTAAAAGAGAATGGCCCCCATGGGCTCATATATTTGAATGTTTGGTCCCCAGTTAGTGGAACTGTTTGGAGAGGATTAGGAGGTGTGGCCTTGTAGGAGTATCTGTGGCCTTGTTGAAGGAGGTGTGTCATTGGGATGAATTTTGAGGTCTCAGAAGACTAGATTGTCTCACCCTCTCTTTGTCGGCTGCCTGCTGACCAGGATGTAAACACTTAGCTACCACTCCATTGCCATGCCTACCAGCTGCCATGCTCCCTGCGATGATGATCATGGATTAACCTTCTGAAACTGTAAGCAAGTCCCCAATTATATGATTCCTTTTATAAGATACCTTGGTCATGGCATTTCTCCATGGCAATAGAAGAGTAACTAAGGCATCATCCATGAGATCTGCTGGCTTTACAGGCATGAAGGATGCAAGAATAAAGAGGCTGTAGATTCTTCCTCCATAGTTTGAGAGAGCCACTGAAGCCAGGCAGTGTGTCGCAGGGGAGTCCCTACATGAAGGCCTTGGGGGCCATTGCATGAAGCTGTGAATGTGAAGCTTGGATTGCAGGGGAGACCCCAAGATGTTGGAAGTGCCAGAATGGTGAGATATCTGCCTAGTAGAGCTGCGTTTAGGGAGTGGAACCAGCCTGAGATATTTATATGTATTGCAGGCAGCAAAACTGGAGGGGTGAAGCCATCTAATCCCTTTGAAGTTAAAGTCTCAGATATTAGACATGGAGCTACAGGATTTTGGCATTTGCCCTGCTGCATTCTGGTGTTGCTTTGGTCCAGTATTTCTTCACCATGCTCTTTTTCTTCCCATTTGGAATGGTAATGGATATTCCTTGCCATTATTTTGGAAGCATGTAGTTGCTTTTTGATTTTGCAGGGATTTGCAATTGAGAGGTTATGTTGAGGCTCGGAAGGGACTTGGCCTTCAAATAGTGTTGGTACTCTGAAAGACTGCCAGGACTTCCGAAGTTGGACTAATTGCATTTTGTGTTATGATATGGCCATGAGCCTATGGGGGCCAGGAGTGGAATGTGGTTGTTTGAATGAGAAATGTCCCTCACAGGCTCTGGTATTTGAACATTTGCTCTCCAGTTGGTGGCACTGGAGTTAGGGAGATTTAGGAGGTGTGGCCTCATCAGAGGAATATGTCTCACTGGGGATGGGCTTTGGAAGATTATAGCCTTGCTCCACCTCCACTTACATTTGAAAATGTGGACTCCCAGTTTCCTGCTCTGCCTGCCACACATGCTACATGCTTCCCCACCATGTAGCATGGTGGACTCTTCACTCCTCTGGAACCATAAGCTCAAATCGGCTCCTTTTTTCCGTAAGTCATGCTTGGTCATGGTGTATTATCATAGCAACAGAAAAGTTATACAGCACCTGCCTCATAACTCATCCATTTTCTTTTAAACACAGGTTGTCTCTCTGTGAGCCAACCAGGGGAAGTGTTCCTGCTCCAGCCAGGGTAGAAACGTTCACAGATCATTTAGAGTTTGTCTGTGCTTGTATTAGCTTCAAGTCTGCTACAGGATGTTACCAGTAGCTCTAGCTGGCCCAGTCAGCTGTCAACTTCCTGTTTTCTCCACAGGTCCAGATGGCTGATGCTGGCAGAAGTGTAGTCTTTTGGTTGTTAAAATTGATAGTGCTTTTGCTCAAGGAAGCCAGAAGAGAAAGACAGAGAGTCCAGTAGATGCTGCTTAGGGAGTCAAATAGCCCTATCCCCAGTGTCTGTCTAGGGAAGTGAATAACAGAAGTCGTTAAATTGACAGATTTTAACAATGTTTACCTACCCAGTGCCCCAGAGAGAAGTGCATTTCCCTTACCTATCTTCGGAAGGTAAAGACTTTAAAAAGCCATGGTGGCGAACTGGGCATGGTGGCATACACCTAGCACCCTGGAGGCAGAGGCAGGCAGATCTCTGATCTCTGTTAGTTAGGGGCTAGCCTGGTCTACATAGCAAATTCTAGACCTGTCATGGCAGAGTTCTAGGCTAGTCTGGGCTACATAGCAAATTCCAGACCCTGTCTCAGAAAAACAGACAGACAGCCATGGTGGAACTATAGTAACTAAACAGTGCTGCCCTAGAAGAAGAAAAGCTGATGAGGAGGACTCAGGCAGATGAGCAGGACTCCAAGCAAGCAGAGTGCAGACAGCTTAGGATGATAAAGAAGGATCTGAGTTAGAAGGGGTGAGGACCAAGTCTTCACATTCCTCATTGATTAGCCCTTTGGAGGAGTATCTTTACTTTCTCCTTCACGCCAGCATTTAAAACTGTGATCTTTATTAAAAAGATTGGCTTGTTTGCTGTTTTAGGGAGTTACGGCTGTGCATAATTTAAAAACACTGCAGGTGCCAATCTGATATCACAGCGGGCCAGTGCAGGTGTGGTGGGGGGTGGCGGGCCAGTGCAGGTGTGGTGGGGGTGGTGGGCCAGTGCAGGTGTGGTGGGGGTGGCAGGCCAGTGCAGGTGTGGTGGGGGTGGTGGGCCAGTGCAGGTGTAGTGGGGGGGACGGGCCAGTGCAGGTGTGGTGGGGGTGGCGGGCCAGTGCAGGTGTGGTGGTTGGGGGGTGGGCCAGTGCAGGTGTGGTGGGGGGCGGGCCAGTGCAGGTGTGGTGGTGGGGGGTGGGCCAGTGCAGGTGTGGTGGGGGGCGGGCCAGTGCAGGTGTGGTGGGGGTGGCGAGCACCGGTGAGGGGAGTGTTGATGTGGGGGAGTGCATGCACAGGGAGAGTGGGAGTGGCTCTCAACACCTGTGGGTCCTGCTCTTTGCCTCTTGCTGCACTTCCTTAGCTACAACACACAGGGTTTCTTATTTGTTTTGTTTTTTGGTTTTTCTTCCTGAGATTGAGGCATGAACACCTGCTCCAGTCCCGCCAGTGTGCATGGATAATAGCTAGAAATTGGAGTATCTGTTGAGTTCTCTGTATAGTAGGAAGTCCACAGAAAGTATTCTGAGGTACAGGTAGCCACACTGCACGCGAAATCTCTGACTAGTCATGATTGGCTTCCGACTGTTCAGGTCCCTATGTTTGACATGATAAGGAAGAGCCATTGACTGGCAGGCTCTGAGGGCCAACTCGTGAGGCTCAGCAAGGCTGGACAGCCATGAGCTTTGCCAGCAGGGGATGATCTTCCAGGCAGGGCCTTCAGTGAACATTTATTACCCCCACTATATTTAGGCTAGGTCCTTGCCAATGCCTTGAGCCTTTCCTTTAACTTTCTTCATAGGTCTTTGGCAATCAAGGAGTTTTTTTCGAAGCCTAAGTCTAATCATATCTTGAAGCCAGAAGACTGTCTCTCTGAACCCTGCACTATCTTGCAGTTGGACATGAGAACTGTGCAGATCTCCGACCTGGAGGTGAGCGACTGACATGCAGCAAGTGTGTGTGTGTGTGTGTGTGTGTGTGTGTGTGTGTGTTTGGGGTGGTGTCTGAGTGATGACTGGTACATTAATAAATGAACCGTTATACTTCATTTGTTTTTGAAGTATTTTTCCTTCTTATGTTCTGTTTTGCCTTTGTCTTTCAGTGTTTTATATTTATATTTAATCTCTTTACTGTCTTTAGTTATTTTGACATTATATTTAGTGTTCTTGGCATCCTAAAAACCATACAAATTATATTCCATTTATTGTAGTACAGTAATTGAGTAACAAATTCTTTCAGCTGTTTACAGCCACTATCAATGACAAAATTCTTGACACATTTCCCATGGTTAGAGTTAGGTCCAGTGACTACTGTGTGGGTGTAGGAGTTTGGGATGGATGTGGTCAGTGGAACCCAAGCTATGTAACACTATCTGCGCAATCCAGGGTGGCTTGCTGGGTTGAGGTTAGGGTTGGGGTTGGGACTGGCATTTGCCTATGGCACCAACATATTATCCTATGTTTGGGTGCAGACCATGCGTGGTGAGCTGCGATTTGACATTCAAAAAGCTGGTACCCTGCATGGCTTCACAGCTTGGTTCAGTGTGCACTTCCAGAGCCTAGAGGAGGGCCAGCCTCAGCAAGTGCTCAGCACAGGCCCACTGCACCCGTAAGTGACCCTACTGGAGGGACTGGGGGAGGAGGTGGGGTAGGGCAGGGGGATAAGGAGTGGATGGAAACAGGTTAGTTCACTGTGTTCCAGGTACCCTTGGCCTGCCATGTGGGGTGGCTCTTGCCTCTGCTTTGGTTATCCTCTGTCAGAATATTAGACTTACTGAAAAGTGTCCCTAGTGTAGAAGTGCATCATAGACTTGGGGCTTTGCCCTGACCTCTCCTAGCCCCTCTTCTCCCAAGTGTGGATCAATGCTGTGCCTGGCCTGATGCCATCCAGCCTCTTACTCTTCTGTAATGGTGGTAGGTTGGACCAGTTGGGTGTGCCCTGCCCTCACCCCCGTGGCCCAGATCAGGGAGTGGGGAGAACGAACAGGAACATTGGAGGAGTGAGTAGAACCAAAGAGCAGCATGGGCTGTTTGGCCTGGCTTGATTGTATGTGCTACTGATTAACTATGGTGACCCAGCCAGGCATCAGCAGCCTAGAAAAGGGCACAGTGACAGAGTGGACTCCTGTCCTCTGGGCCAATATAGTCATTTGACCCTGGGCTTCCATCCAGCAGGCCACCCAGGTGAACCTTCCTCACCTTCTGCAACCTGAGCTATCTCTGTACTGCCTTTTCTGCTGCACCTGGAGCAGGGTGTCAGCCCCCTGTGTGGTGGTTTAGACCCTATAAAGACTTTGGATTATAGGGTCAGCTGTGGGAGGGCGGCACTGTGCCTTGTTGAACATGGGGTTAAGGTCCATATTCCTGGGTTCCTGGGCAGGACAGTCTGTCAGCACAGATGACCTTGTTGGGGCTGCCAGGTGAGACTTATAGGTGACTGTCCCTGTCTTACAGCACCACACACTGGAAGCAGACCTTGTTTATGATGGACGACCCCGTCCCAGTCCACACAGGAGACGTAGTCACGGGTTCTGTTGTGTTACAAAGAAATCCGGTGTGGAGAAGGCACATGTCCGTCTCTCTGAGCTGGGCTGTCACTTCTACACTTGACCCCACATCTCAAAGAGTAAGATATTTATTTGTAAAATCATGCATTGTAGGTGCTGGATCTCAAGGAGACCACTCTGGTGGTTACTAAGAACCGTGACAAATCGGTGTCCTCTGCCATGGTTGGCCTTGCCTATCTTGTATCATTATAATCTTCACACAGGACAAACGTGCTATTTTTAGATGTCTATAAAAATCTAAATCACGTTTCTCCTTTCATGTAATAGGAGGTTGGAGGTTTAAGAAGGTAAGTGTCAAATGCTCGTGTGGCACAGCTGGTCAGAGTCCTGCACCTGCCTGGGGCCACGACTTGTACTTTTCCTGAAAGAGACGTGTGTGAGGTGTGGAGGTGTGGAGGACCAAGTTTTCACATGTGGAATGACATGGGGTGTACAGAGTTGGGTGGGATGTCAGGCCTCAAGTTTCAAGGGCTACTGGAAATTGGAGCTCTGTTTTTGGATACAGGGTTAATGTGGGAGAGAAAAGAAAAACAATCAAATGGTTTTCTTTTGTGGTAATTTTATATTCAGTGTTAAAATTGTTTGTCATTTAAGGGTGCGCTCGGAATGCCATTCCATCCAGTGTTAAATTATGGTAAATTATTTGATTGACTTCTTTTTTTCTTCTGACTTTACAGGTTGGAGAAAAAGTCTTTCCAATCTGGAGGTGACAGTTAAGCCCTGCTTGGGAGCCATGGTCATGGTATGCATCTTGGTGGAAGAAGATGCACCTGGCCACCAGCTGTGACATCCATCCGCACCTGTCCCATGCTGACCCCCTTTCCACCTAGCAGGTGACACTGGGCCCTTCACAGATAAGCCTATGGGCTCACTCCTAGAGTTTCTCTTGTAGGCTGTGTATGTAGGTGTTCATCCTCTGGTGCCCATCACCTGCCAGTTGTGACAGTGTTCCCAGCTGGGAGTAGCTGTAGATCCCTCAGACACACATTTTAGCCTGTGTATCTGTGACTGTGATGTCCATATGCTGTGTCAGTGGTGTCCCTGAGGTCCTTGCCCAGCTGCTCCACCCGTGGACTGTGGCTTGCAGAGCTGTGCTCTTGATAGTTGAACCCCTGTGTCCCAGTGTAAGGACTGGTGGTGGCAGTGCGTGCAATGGGCTCTGCATGGGTAGCGCAGTGTGTAACATCGTATGGGTAAGTTATATGTGAGACATAGTACATGCTCAATAAATATTTTTTAATGAACAAATGTTCCATGTCCTGTTTCTAAGCATATACACTGTTTCTCATAAGTATGGTGTCATGGTTTGAGTGAAAATGACCCCCATAGCCCCATAGGTAGTGGTCCTATTGGGAGGTGTGGTCTTGTTGGAGCAGGTGTGGCCTTGTTGGAGGAAGTTTGTCACTGGGAGTGGACTTTGAGGTTTCAGATGCTCAAGTGAGGCCCAGGGTCACTCTCTCTTCCTGCTGCCGGCTGATCCAGATATAGAACTCTCAGATACCTCTCCAGCACCATGTCTGCCTGCCTGCCACCATGCTTCCTGTCATGCTGACAATGAACCAAATCTCAGAACTGTAAGCCAGTCTCAATTAAATGTTTTCTTTATAAGAGTTCCCGTGGTCATGGTGTCTCATCCCAGCAATAAAATCCTAACTAAGACACATAGGATTACACACTACCTATTGCCTCGTAACCTTTCTCAGTATTACCTGTACATTTACATTTTTTTTATTGTTTTGATGTTGAGTAAAATTTTGTTATAAAGTATACTACTGAAAGCACAGTGAATCTGAGTATACAGATGGCATGCCAGGCATGGGGTGCACACCTTTGCTCTCAACACTCAGGAGGCAGAGGCAAGTGGCTCTCACTGAGTTTGAGGCCAGCCTGGTCTACTTCCCGAGTTTCAGGCCAGCCAGAGCTGCATAGTGAGACCCTGTCTGAAAAATAAAACAAAAACAAAAAGCACTCAAGTGCACATAGGACATGCACCCAGGTTGAGACACAACCATCTGCAAAGACTTAATGTCCTCCAGCAGCCCTCAGGCATATCAGTGGAACCACATGTCATGGAGGAGGATGCCATCTGTAGCTGGAAGTTTTTCCAATCCCACGGCCGTTCAGTCCCAAATAAACTCACAGAGGCTTATATTAATTGCAAACTGTTTGACCTATGACTCAGACTTATCATTAACTAGCTCTTACAACTTAATTCAACCTATTTCTATTAATCTATGTTTTGCCATGTGGCTTCATGGTGTTCCATTACATCTTGCTCCCCTTGCAGCACTCAGTGTCTCCCCTGACTCTGCCTTCTTCTCTTTGTCTCTCTGCTTGAATTCCTTGCCTGGCTCTATTCTGCATTGCCATAGGCCATAACAGCTTCTTTATTAACCAATGGTAGCAACATATATTCACAGTGTAAAGAAGAACCATCCCACAGCACTTCTACTTTTTTGTCTATGCTTCCATCAAGCAGTGTGTAGCCCAGAAACATTTTTTTTCCATCTGTACTAGCAAAAGTTAAATCCACCATGCATGATTTTGGCATAATTATAGTCACATCTGCACCTGTGTCCACTAAGCCTTCATTTATGGAAGTCTGCTAAAATATTCATTTTATGGTGTTTTTTGGAATTTTTGATCCATCTATCAAAGCTGTTCTATCATGCAGTGCAGTGTGTCTTTTTCACATTAGGCACTGGATTATTCAATTGTCCTGGGGAGGAGTTTCCTCCACAGTGACTGAAAATTACTGGACCATGTTCAATTTTGGGGCCTGTAAGAGGCCCCCCAAGGCACTTCCCAATGGTAAATGGTTGCCTTGTATGTCTCTTGTTGATCTGCATTCATTGGTCCAATGTCAGCCTTGCCACATCTTCTGCTTAATCAAGAAGGTTGAGGTTTCCTGTTTGGGTCATTTCTAGAAGAAGCATTGCTTTTAGGAGTGCCCTGTGTACAATTTCTTCTAATATGGCCTGGTTTACCACAGTTAAACATTTGGCACTTTGATGCCTCTTTATACCTTTGGAAATCACCTCTCCTATCCAAGCCTTATCACCATAGTTAAGAGACTCAACATTGATTGTGTATTGGATTCATTTTTCTGTGAGTGCTGATCTGATCTTTAAAGGTGTATCTATTTACATTCTATATTAGCATTTTCAAAAGCCAAAGATCGAATTAGTACTCATCTAACTTCTTGATCTGATATTGCCTTGTTTGCAACTTTGGTCAATCTTTGTAAAAAAATCAGTTCTTTCGACCTCTGTATGACCTTGGTATATAGCTCAGTTGGTTTCCCAACTGATTGTGCATCTGTATCAGCAAAGCAGCCCTTACCAAGAATTTGAACTTGGGAGATCTGAAAACCTTTAATCTTACTTTGCTGCTCAAGGGCCTTAGCTTCTTCCTATCAGCTTTTTCATTGTAATTGAAGGCTATATTCTAATACCACTGATATTAACTGATTCCAGTCATTTGGTGTGATCCTATTTCTAGAAGACCACATATTTAATATCTGTTTCACATATGTTGAATGTATACCATAGGTAACTACAGCTTCCTTGATGTTCTTTAAATCTCTTATAAATATAGGCTTCCATTTTATTCTTCATATCCTTCAGGATATTTATCAGTTGCTGGCTTTTCATAAACAGTAACAGGATATATGGCATGACTTGTGACTTTTGGTAAGTCATCTCTAACTCTGTAAGGCACTGGGAATGTTATAACCTCTCTAACCTCTTCCTTCTGAGTGTTAACATTTTTATTATCAGTTCTAACAGAGTCCTATAAAGCTTGAAATCAATTAACCACAGCTTTTTCTAAATTCTGTACCTCCTGTACTGTAAATGATTGCAGTGACTTCATGGAATCCAAAAAAAATTTTATGTTCATCACAAATATATGATTCCAAAGATTTTATTCTATTGATTAATGATGACCATTCTTCCTTTGAAATTATCTATATGGCATTAAGAGTGCCTTGCAGACTTAACATTTTATCCAATAATTTTTCACATTTATTTTCAATAGAATTAAATCTGGTTGTCCATATAGTATTAATGGTTTGAAGTTCATGTGGTAAATAAGCAGATTCCAGAGAATAAATCCTTTGATTTAAGTTCTCATTACCATTTTGCAAAGTCTGTATCAGTCCTATTAATATCTCATATTTGGTGCTGTTATTAAACCAGTTTTTTTAATGATATGATGTGAATTACTATACTAATTACCATTATGGCAAAAATTGTATACATCCCAGGAAGGTTGTATATGTCTTGTAAAATTTCATTCGTAGTATAAACAAAGAAGTTTTAAAATTTCTGAATGGTTATATTATCTGCCATGATCTAAGAAATACTTAAAATTTGCAAAGGAAAGAAAAATTATTTATTAATCAGTTTAAGTGTAAAATTATCAAGTAATTAACCTCAGATAATATCCTTGAGAGATTGTCCTAAGTGTCCTAGGTGTTCCAAGTGTCCTAAGTTCTTAATGAACAGGTAGGGAGAATGGCTGGTTTGTGTGATGATTTTTGGATGTAGTAGTGGTATTTGGCCAGCAGGTCACAAGTGTGGCACCAAAGCAGGTCTGGTTTGTGCCATAATTTTTGGGTGTAGTAACAATATTTGGCCAGCAGGTGTCACAGGTTTAGTGCCAAGATAGGTCCTGAAGCACTATACCTCTTTCTGGCTCAAGTTCTGAAGTTGTTTGACCTGTGAGCTTAAGCAACTACACCCGAGAGATTTAAAAGAAAGGAGCAGCCTGTTAGCACTCCCACATGCAGCATGGTCCTTGTAGGCAAGCAGAATGTACCAGCAACTCCCACAGTGGTCTCACAGCAGCCACTGGAGCCCACTCAGAGCAGGCAAGGGCCAGCAGGAGGAATGCTGCTGATGTGCTCAGACTGCAGAGCAGGTGTGCTTTGCTGAGGGATCAGCGCAGCTAGTATCAGGTAAAAGACTGTGATCCAATCTGGCTGCTACAGCCACAGAACTAGAAAGGCTCCTAGCATGGACATCTTTCTCTCTGACACAATGCTCTATCTTCTGCTGAACATGCATGCTTCTGGCAGTGGTTACAAGAACCACTGCCACATGTGCCGCCTGGCTGCATGAGCTGCCTGGCCTAAGGGTCTCTGCATGGCTGCTGTATGGAGGTGGTCACCTGAGCAGGGGTCAAACAGCACCTGGGGGAAGGGTTTGAGCTGTGCGCAGTCTCTGCAGGGCAGAGAAACTCACCAGCAGCCACCCACTGGTATTAGTGTTTGGTCTTGCAAGGAGCATGTAAGGGTTCATGGGGCTCAGATTCAGGTGGTTGAGTACCAGATAATGTGAGAAATCCATGAGAGTCTGTTTAAGAAGTATTAGGGAATTTATTAGGATATAAATTGAGGAAATACACTCATGAATACAGAACCGAGTAAACAGCTGAAGTCGTCCTCTGTTCTGACTGGGAGTGAATCCATCTGGCAGTGAATCCACCTGGCAGCCTGATCACACCAGGAAGCAGAAAGCAGGGGCCTCATGACCCATCTCCCATTCTTTTTAAGAGGTAATATACAATAGCAAGAAGCACTACTTTCTTTGGATGATATAGCCAAAGGTCATGGGCAGAGCAAATACCACTACACCTATGCAACATCCTTCCTAACTGTAACATTCTTCCTGAATTTGCAGCATCCTTTCTGCCAGTGTGACATCCTTCCTGTCTGTGCAAGATACTTCCTACCTATGCAACATCCTTTCTACCTGTGCAACATTCTTCCTGCCTGTGCAATATCCTTCCTGCTTGTGCAACATCTTTCCTGCCTGTGCTAGATCCTTCCTACCTATGCAACATCCTTTATAGCTATGCAACATCCTTCCTGTCCCTACAACATCTTTCTGCCTATACAACATTGTCCCTAGCTGTGCAAAATCCTTCAGACCTGTGAAACATTCTTCCTACCTGTGCACCATCTTTCCTGCCTGTTGAACATCCCTCCAGCCTGTGCAACATCCATCCGGCCTGTGCAACATATTTCCTGCCCATGCAACATCCTTCCTGTCCCTACAACAACCTTCCTGCCTAAACAACATTGTCCCTACCTGTGAAACATCCTTCATACATGTGCAACATCCTTCCTACTTGTGCAACATCCTTCCTGCCTATGAAATATCCTTCCTGCCCATTCAGCATCCTTCCTGCCTGTGCAACATCCCTCCAGCCTGTGCAACATTCCTCCAGCCTGTGCAACATCCTTCCTGCCTGTGCAACATCTTTCCTGCCTTTGCAGCATTCTTCCTACCTATGTAGCATCCTTCCCACCTTTGCAAAATCCTTCCTGCCATTGCAACATCGTCCCTACCTGTGCAACATCTTTCATACCTGTACAACATCCTTCCAACTTGTGCAACATCCTACCTGCCTATGCAGCATCCTTCCTGCCTGTGCAGAATCCTGTCTACCTATGCAACATCCTACTTGCCTGTGCGACATCCTTTCTCCCCAAGCAACATCTTTCCTGCCTTTTCAACATCCTTCCTGACTGTGAAACATCCTTCCTGCCCATACAACATCCTTTCTACCTGTTCAACATCCTTCATGTCTATGCAACATTCTTTTTGCTTGTGCAACATCCTTCCTGCCCTTGAAACAACCTTCCTACCCTTACAACATCATCCCTACCTGTTCAACATCCTTCACCTGTACAACTTCCTTACTGCCTAAGCAACATCATTCCTGCCCGGGCAGCATCCTTCCTGCCTGTGTGATGTCCTTCCTTCCCAAGCATCAATCTTCCTGCCAGTGCAACATCCATCCTGTCAGTGCAATATCCTTCCTGCCTGTGTGGCATCTTTCCTGACTGTGTGCTGTGGGATATCTTTCTGTATGCTGTGGGATATCTTTCTGTATGCTAGGAATATATGGCTTCCACTGGATAATAAATAAAGCTGTTTTGGCTTATGGTAAGAAAGCTTACAGCCAGGCGGGAAATCCAAGAAGAAATAGAGAAGGGTGGAGTTGGCAGAGATGCCAGCTGTTGCCAAAGGAGCAACAAGATGCAATTAGACTGGTAATGCTACAGCCACACAGCAACATATAGATTAATAGGAATGGTTAGTTTAAGATGAGCTAGCTGGCTAAAAGCTGAAGCCATAGTCCATATAGTTTGCAATTAATATAAGCCTCTGAGAGATTACTTTATAAGTGGCGGTAGGATTGTGGGTGGGAGAGATTCATCCAGATTGTTGGGCAAGGCAGGACTGGAGAAACTTCCATCTACACCTGTGCAACATCCTTCCTGCCTGAGCAACATCTGTCATTCCTGGTCAACATCATACCTGCCGATACAACATCGTTCCTATCTGTGCAACATCTTTCCTACCTGTGCAACATCCTTTTTTGCCTATGCAACATCCTTTCTACCTCTGCAACATCCTTCCAACCTGTACAGCATCCTTCCTGCCTGTGGAGACTCCTTCATAACCCTGCAGTATCCTTCTTGTCTATGCAACATCCTTCCTGCCTGTGCAACATTTTTCCTGCTCGTGAAGCATTTACCTGCCTACACAACATTTTTCTTGCCTGTGCAACATCCTTTCTACCTCTGCAACATCCTTCCTACCCAGACAACAGGCTTCTGACCTGTTGAACATCATTCCTGCTTGTGTAACATCCTTCCTGCCCATGCAACATTCTTCCAGCCTGTGAAGCATCCTTCCTGCCACCCATGCAACCTTCTTCCAGCGAGTGTGACATCCTTCCTGCCCATGCAACTTTCTTCTTGCCTCTGAAACATATGTCCTGATCCTGCAACATCCTTCCTAAATATACAACATCATCACTACCTGTGAAACACCCTTTCTGCCTATGCAACATCCTTCCTGACTGTGCAACATCCTTCCTGTCTGTTCACCATCCTTCTGCCCACAAAACATTCTTCCAGCCTGTGGAGACTCCCTCCCATCCCTGCATCATCCTTCCTGCCTACGCAATATCCTTTCTGCCTGTGCAACATACTTCAGGTCTGTGCAACATCCTTCCTGCCTATACAACATCGTCCCTACTTGTGCAACATCCCTCCTACCTGTGCAACATCCTTCATGACTATGTAACAGCTTTCCTAGCTGTGCAACATCCTTCCTGTCCCAGCAACGTCCCTCATACCTGTGAAACACCTTTCCTGCCTGCTTAACATTCTACTTGCCCATTTAGCATCCTTCCTGACTGTGCGACATCCTTCCTGCCTTTTCAATATCTTTCCTGCCTGTGCAGCATGCTTCCTGCCTATGCAACATTCTTCCTACCTGTGCAACATCCTTGGTACCTGTGCGACATCGTTCCTAATTATACAACATTCTTCCTGCCCATGCAACATCCTTTCTGTCTATGAAACATCCTTCCCAGCTGGGCAACATCCTCCCTGCCCCTGCAAAATCCTTCCTGCCTATAAAACATTGTCCCTACCTGTGCAACATTCTTCCTACCTGTGCACCATCCTTTCTGCCTTTTGAACATCCTTCCTGCCTGTGCAACATTCTTCCTGCCTGTGCAACATCTTTCCTCCCCCTGCAACATCCTTCATGCCTCTGCAATATCCTTTCTGCATATACAACATTGTCCCTACCTGTGCCACATCCTTCATACCTGTGAAACATTCTCCATACCTGTGCAACATCCTTCTTCTTTTTTGGGGGGTGGGGGTGGGACAGAGTTTCTCTGTGTAGTTTTGGTGCCTGTCTTGGATCTCACTCTGTAGACAAAGCTGGCCTCAAACTCACAAAGATCCACCTGGCTCTGCCTCCTGAGTACTGGGATTAAAGTCATGTGCCACCACTGCCCAGCTGCAACAACCTTCTGACCTGTGAAACATCCTTCCTGACCATCCAGCATCCTTCCTGCCCATGCAACATCCTTCCTACCTGTGCAAAATCCTTCCTGCCTATGCAACATCCTTCCGGCCCATGCAACATCCATTCTGCCTGTGCAATATCCTTCCTGCCTGAGAAGCATCTTTCTTACCTGTGCAAAATCCTTCCTGCCTGTGCAACATCCTTTAAACCTGTGCAACGTCCTTCCTGCATGTGAAGACTCTTTCCTACCCCTGTAGCATCCTTCCTGCCTGTGCAACATCCTTCCTTCCTGTGCAACATCCTTTCTGCCCATGCAACATTCTTCCTGCCAGTGCAGCATCCTTCCTGCCTGTGTGACAAACTTCCTGCCTGTTCGACAGCCTTCCTGTGCAACATTCTTCTTGCCTGTGCAACATCCTTCCTACCTGTGCAACATCCTTCCTGCCTATGCAACATCATTCCTGCCCGTGTAACATTCTTCCTGCCCATGAAGAATCCTCCCTTCCTGTGCAGCATCTTTCGTGCCCGTGAAACATCCTTCCTGCCTGTGTAACATCCTTCCTGCCAGTACAGCATCCTTCCTGCCTGTACAACATCATTCCTGCCACTGCAGCATCCTTCCTGCCTGTGAAATATCCTTTCTGCCCATGTAACATCCTTCCTGCACATTAAGCATCTTTCCTGTATGTCCAATCTCTTTCCTGCCTGTGCAGCATCCTTTCTATCCATGCAACATTCTTCCTGTCTGTGCAGCATCCTTCCTGCCTGTGTAGCCTCCTTTCTGCCAGTGCAGCATCCTTCTTGCCCATGTAGCCTCCTCCTGCCCATGCAACATCCTTCCTGCCAGCCATGTTGAATCATGTCTAGTTCCTCACATGCTACATGCCATATCTTTTCTTCACATTTTCTTCTGCTCAAAGAATTAGTGAAACCATTAAAAGCTTTTGTACTTTTAATTTCAACAGTAACTATTTGCTCAATTGATTTGCTTACACATTACATGTGTTCACATGTATATACAAGTATTACCATATGTATACATGCATTATTTAGAGGTTTATTTCTTTGTGTATCTTTGTTGTCATCTTATTTTATCTATTAATTTATATATGTACCCACAATTCCCTATTTTCTTCACTATGTATTTCTTGCTGATGGCTTACTGATGGACAATTTTTTACCTTCTCAAAACCAGTCTTTACTATTCCTGTTATACCAGGACACTGGTAGAAAAATCTGGGTTATTTTTTGGCATTGTTTGTAGGAACAACATCAATTTTGTGTTCTGGCTTTTTTTTAAATTTTATTTAAACAATATTAATAGTGGAATTTTATTGAAACAATACAAACAGTAGTATTAGCATACCTTAACCATACAGTTAAATTAATTTTTACAAAGGCATATTCTCCCATGATGTGCAGCCCAATCAACACTTATAGCACTCCCTGCCCCCAAACCCCAGAAAATCTTCATACTGCTTTTTTGTCAATGTTCCTGAGGACAGACCTTCAACTGCTGTCATTATAGGTTAGTTTTAACCCACATATAACATAATAGAAATAGATGCATTTTTTCTTTTAGATAAGGGTTGTAATCCATCCATACTGGTTATTTTTATTAGCTTCCAGGTATGTCATACTCTGTTGACTCAGCCACCTGCTGAGAATTGTTTAGTTCTGTTCTATTTTCTTGGTGGGCTATTTAGAGTGTTGCTGCTGTGACTCACATCTCTAAAAAAAGGTCCTAATAGTCTGCTCTCCTTTTTCTTTATGGCCAAGTGTAATCCCTTCTCTTAATGTGGGTCAGACTAAGGGATTTTTTTCCAAAGGGAAGTATCTTAAGACACCACAAATAACACTGCAACAATAGTCTTTATATATAGATCCCCATGGATGGTTGTTTTCATAGATGAGACAGACATATTTGAATCATTGGGGCAAGGTTGCCTGGGGGCCCAGCCTCTGCTCCAGTGTGTCTAAGAAGCAGGGCATGAAGTCAAAGGCAATTACCTCATGGGTTTAGCGACCAGTGACTCCTTTCTTCTTGTCTTTGTCTCCCTTTAGGAATGAGTGTCTATCCCATGCCTACCCCACCAGTGTGCTCTGGAAGTAGCATGTTTGGTTTCCCAGGATGACAGCAGGAGGTGTTCTAGAATGGATTATGCCTTGAGTCTCATTCATATCTGATTTACAAGAGATTTTTGACTCCTGAGTTGTTCTGCAAACATATTAATACCTTTGGTGTCACAATAATGAAATGGATATAATTTGAAGATAAGGTGTTGAAGAGAATTCTATAGTTGAATAGATCCTCCAGAGTTCATATGTTGCAATCTAACTCCTAACATCAATGCAGAAAAGAGGGACCTCTAGGGAGTGACCAATTCATGAGGATTATTCCCTCAGGAATTAATTAGTGTTATTACAGGAGTAGATTACCTGTAAAAAGACAAATGTGGTCCCCTTCTCTTTCTATCACATATTCTCTTGACTACCCACCTTCTACCATGGAATGATGTAGCAAAAATGTCCTCTCCAGATTCTGGCTCTTAAATAGTGTCCTTCCATATCTGGAGAACTAAAAAAACAAACAATAAAAACCAAAATAAAACCAGGAAACCAATAATCACCACTATTCATAATTCCTAATATTTCATATTTGTTACAGCAGCACAAGATACTCTATAGCAGTGGTGTTTTTCCAGGGGCTCAGGGATGGGAAAGTTGATGGTCAAAGGGTGCAAATGTTTGGTTATAAGGTGAATATGTTATGGAGGTCTAATAATGCACAACACTGTGCCTATGAATAATAATGTACTGTGTATTTCAAATTTGCTTAGAGCAGATAATACAAAAGGGCAACTATGTTATGATGTGGATGTGCCAGTTGACTTGGTTCTGGTAATACTTTCATAACTTACATATGAAATCATCACATTTTGTTTCTTAAATCTATAAAATTTCACTTGATAATGATACTTCATAAAAGTACAAAAAAGGATTTTTGTCTCTTTGCCTACTTCACATACTTACATGAAGTCACATTAGTAGTTTTGTAAATTATAAACTATTTTATTTACATGGAGGGACAACAAAAATTCAAGTCTGACATAACCTTATTAGATAAAATTAGCAAATTGCTAATGTCCCCTTGTAAGATAACAAACTATAAAATGAAAGCACATAAAATGGTCCTTTCCTTAGCCAATATTGTTGTGACTGAGATAGAATTCAGGCAAAATAGCCATAGAAAAAAACTGCCACAGTCAGGAGGACAATGGCATTGACGTTCACAACAGTCCTCCAGAAGGGCTCCTCTGATGTGTCTGTGAGTTTCTTCTTCAGGACTTCTTCTTCTTCTTTAGTCAGCTTGGGTTCTGTTTTTTGCAAACCACAGAATAAGTCATAAGTCTTCTTGAGACATCCACGAGGTTTCTCAGTTTGGTCTGGAACAAAGAAAGAAAAATAAACTATCACCACAGGTGGGTAGAACATCTCACCAAAGTCTGTAAACAGTGATTACAGTTTTTATAAGAGCCAGAAGAATCCTGAGAAAATATTTATAAATTTGACTATATAAAACCTGAAAAATATCCCCAAAATTAAATGTAAAATGTGGCAAAATGGGGGTAATATAGGGAGGGATTTGCAAACAATACCATAGAGGCTTTTTTTTTTTGCCTCAATATACAATAGGTTTCTGAAATTTAAAAAAAAAGAAAAGCAAGGCCATTTAGAGATCCATTTAAACATACTATAGAGTTGATAAACAACTTAGAAGAAGAAAAATTATCTTAAGCTCACTGTAAAAATTAAAATTATATTACAATACCAGTTGTCACAATTGGCAAACATTCCAATAACATGCTTCATGAAAATATCCTAGGGAGTCTTTGTGACAATATCCTAGGAGCTGGTGTATGTAAAGAAAGCTGAGGCATCTCTTCTGCTATGGGTGTGCTGGTGAGAATACTAAGAAATGAGGTTGAGGCTAGATACTTAATCACAAGATATGAAGATGGAGAAGTTAGCAAGTAACTGAATGTCATCTCAGCACTTGGCAGGTAGTAAGTACCATGGATGGACAGAAAGATGCACATGTAGGTGAGTGGATGCATAGATGTCATATCTAGCATGTTACCTTCCTTATTGTGCCAGTGAGATTTGAATGTTTTAGTTTGTTATAAAAACAACAACTTCTTGAGAATTGGATAACTGCAGAAGCCAGATTAAGTGTTGATATCATCCCTCATCAAATGACAGTACGTGAAGTCATAACAGAAAAGCACAAGTTCCAGTGGATATATCTACATCACAGCTACTGCATCTATGACTCAGGGAACATCTTGGAAGAGGAGTCACAAAGATTGTAAGAGCCAGAACACCAGGAAACCTGCTGTGAAACATACTTTCACAGAAATGGATCTGTCTTAGTTAGGGTTTCTATTGCTGTGATGAAACACTATGACCAAAAAGGAAGTTGGGGAGGAAAGGGTTTACATTTCATTATACTTCCAGGTAGTAGTTCACCACTGAAGGAAGTCAAGACAGGAACTCAAGCAGGGAAGGGACCTGGAGGCAGGAGCTGAGGCAGAGGTCCTGGAGGGGTGCTGCTTACTGGCTTGCTCAGCCTGCTTTCTTATAAAATCCAGGATCACCAGCTCAGGGATGGCACCACCCACCATAGGCTGGGTCCTCCCCAGTCAATCACTAATTAAGAAAATGCCTTAGAGCTGAATCTTATGGAAGCAATTTCTCAATCAAGGTTCCATCCTTTCAGATAACTCCAGCATGTATCAAGTTGACATAAAACTAGCCAGCACAGGCTTTATAAACAAGACAAGAACAATGACAATATTAATAGACTTGTTAACATAGAAAGGGGGAAAATTTCACTACATTTCACTCCTAGGCAAAAAAGAAAAACCCAAAACAAAAAAAACCCAAAACAAAAGAAAGCAAAAAAACAAACTACAGGCAACTAATGACTGCCAAGAATGGGAGAATTAACTTCTCCTAGGGATGAGCCCTGTAACTGATTATGCAACACAAAGCTGTCAGTCCTGAAACCATATACACACAACAGACACAGACTCAGCAGACTGTATTTATGTATTTGTGAATACACATACATATATGTAACAATATTAATTAAAGAATAAGAAGCTATTAACTCATGGGAGAAGTTAGAGGGAGAGGGGTTTGGAGGGGTAAGAATGAGCAAAGGTACGAGGGAAGTGATGTAACTATATTTTGATTAAAAATATACATAAAAATCCCCAATAAGCCACACCATGAAAACCAATGCATAAGTGAGACGTTACCCTCTTCAGTCTCATTATCAGCTCCTTCCTCCCTTTTATCTTCTGCATCTAAATCGATTCTCTCCTCCTCACTGTTCCGAAGAGTCCAGCACAGGCGATACAGCTGAGAGATGACCACAGAGAGCATTAATTAGCAAAAGGCCCATGTTTGCAAACACTGAACAATAGTCTCAGTTTTGTACAATTAAAAAATCAGACTGCATGAAAAAGTGTAATAGATTGTAATGAAAGGTGCTCCTACCATATCACACTCTCCAAAACACATGAATCATTTAAAATCTTTTCTGTTTTTAATTATTTGGGAAGGAAACATTTAAAAATTCAAAATTTCTAAAACTCATACTTTGACTTTGCTGTGGGATGGTCTGTATGTCAAATGTGTTGCTGATTGGTCAATAAATAAATCACTGATTGCACTGTGGGCCAGGCAGGAAAACTCTAGCAACAAATGGTGTCCAACGTGGTGGCAAGAGTTTCCACCTAAAAACTGAGAAAAGATTCTAAAACGGAGCTAAAAACAGCTTCCTAATTGTCTCTCTCAAATGAGCGGCAGCTGCCGGTTTGAACTACTGGCGGGTTCCTAGCGTGTGCACTCGACCTGCCGCCATATGGTGGGAATGAGGCCTCTGCAAGTGACACATTAAGCTACATTGTGGATTTAGCCTTTGCTAGTACAAAACAAAAAAAGAGGTTTCTGGGCTACACGCTGCTTGGATAAAAACATAGACCCATGATAGCTCCCAGAGCTGGCGGTAAAGTACCACGCCATGTTGGGAAGCTGAGGTGGGCGGAGCCAGCAGCCACAGCTGCTGCAGCTTAAAGCAATAGATTCACAATAAGACAGATTCAGATGTAATAGTTTAAAATGTGTGTAAAATATACGTAGGCTTGAAAGAGACAAAAAAAGGTGATATATACAGTATAGAAACAAATACATAGTTTTAAAAAATAAAGTCTTTAAAGAGACAGTAAAATTAATATAAAAAATAAGCCACGTGAAGATGAATATTACACAGAGAATCTGGATTGTGTTGTCTTTGGGATTTTTAACTGCAGAAAAACATTTAATTGTAAAAGCTGTTGAGTTATGCCAAAATGTATATTTTAAAGGTACCTTGACTTCAAAATTTGGATATAAGGATATGTTGCTTTGGAAAGGAGATTCTGCTTTTGTTCTCACAGAAAGCCAGAGGCTATGGATTTGTTCCAGATTAAGATACATCAGGTTTGACCAGCCAAGACCACCTGAAAGGTCTCCGATGACACCATGGCCCAGATGATCCAACATCCAGAACCATTTCAAGGCAACTGGCTCAGACGATACACCCTCATGGACTACTCCATAACCCTAAAATATTCTTTGTTTCCCCATAAGATACAGCGCCCCCCTCCAACAGGAAGTAGTAAGAGAAGCTACGCCCAAATTCCCAAATATACCAAGCTGACTTTGGAGATGTGTAAAGGTTAAAACCTTCCTTTTTAAGAAAAGAAAAGGGGGAGGCAGAGCCAGGCGGATCTCTGTGAGTTCGAGGCCAGCCTGGTCTCCAAAGCGAGTTCCAGGAAAGGCGCAAAGCTACACAGAGAAACCCTGTCTCGAAAAACCAAAAAAAAAAAAAAAAAAAAAAAAAAAAAAGAAAAGAAAAGAAAAGGGGAGGTGCTGTGGGATGGTCTGTATGTCAAATGTGTTGCTGATTGGTCAATAAATAAATCACTGATTGGACTGTGGGCCAGGCAGGAAAACTCAAGATACAGGGCTTTTATATGTTCAGAAAAGTAGGACATTGACCTAGACTATTACACTTTGGCTTCACTCATTGTCCTTATTGTCTACTGTTAGTAGTAACTTCATTGTTATTTCATTGTCCTTATTGTCTGTCAATAGTAACTCCATTGTTATTCCATTGCCCTTATTGTTTAACTGTGAAGAATAACTTTATTGCTATTTCATCGTCCTTCTGTTTTTCAATAATAACTTCATTGTCCTTATTGTTTGACTGCCAATAGTGACATCATTGTTATTTCATTGTCCTTATTGTCTAATTATTAATAATAACTTCATTGTTGTTTTCAGTCTAGCTGGAGATTGCTTTTTGCACTTAATTTTTTGTTGTTGTTGGTATTTTTTGTTGTTGTTACATATGTTCTCATGTAGCCCAGGTTGACCTTGTACTTGCTATGCAGCTGAGGCTGTCTTTGAACTTCTGATCTTCCCGCCTCCACCTCCCAGGTGCTGGTGCACCATCCTTCCTAGCTTACAGGTTTAACTCGACACATAATAATTATACATATTTATGTGGCAGAGAGCACTAATTTGACACATATATGCAACATGTGTTTATCAAATCAAGGAAATTATCATTTCCATTTCCTTCAACATTCCTTTTGTGAGTGTGTTGAAAGCCTTCAACCCCCTTTCCTCCATTTCCTTACAAGCTACAGAACAAATAGTTGTGAAGTATCATCACTTCACTGTTCTGTAGCATGCCAGGAGTTATTTCTCTGACACAGTCTATGTTGGAAACTGTTATCTGACCTTCCTCCCTCCTGTTCCCCTTCCTATTCTGTGATGACTAGGGGTTGTCATTGTCACTCGACATATTGTAAGTTCTATTTCTACATCCGTTCTATTTAGACATCTATCTGTGTTCAATTCTTGAATTTCAAATGTAATCACACATCCCTTTCCCAATCCACCTCTGAACTTTGTCTGCTGTTACTTTAAACTTCTAAGTTTTATGGAATTTTGACTATCATTTGTCCATTATATGATCAAGGTTCTCTGCTTTGTGTATTGATTAAAACTTTTGAAAATACATGGAATATGTGTTGTCATGTCATTTTTTTACTATATATGTAAGAAGTGTTATTGGAGACAATGGAAAAATAAGACACACACCAAAGTTATACTTAGGAAACTGGTCCAAATGTTGATGGATTTATAACCCATCATATTCTCAAAGTCACACTTTGCTTTAGTTTTTCTAGGAATTTGACACAGCTCTGCTGAATTTTGCTATTGGCTTCTTACTTATAGCCAATACTTACTTACTTACTTACTTACTTACTTACTTACTTACTTACTTACTTACATGCTTTCACCTCAGTACTGGGATGCCTTACCAAACCTCCAGAAGCTTGAGCTATCTTTTGTTATTAAATCCACCCTTTTCATTGTTCTTTTCTGAGACAGAGTTTCTCTGTGTATCTCTAGCTTGTAAACAGAAACTCACTATTTAGATCAGGCTGGACTTGAACTCACAGAGACCCATTTCCAAATGCTAGGATTAAGACATCATCATGCCCTCCTTTAAAGCTATCTTCTTGAGGCTTTTTGAATCCTGCCCTAATTTGGGCTACCACAGACTTGCCTCATCTTCTGTCACAGGACATATCATTATTGCATTACTAGGTGAGGCCCACAACATTTAACATGACTGACTATGAAATATCTGTTGCCACTTACAAACCTACTTTCAAAGGTCAACTCTTGTGGTATATTCATAAAACAAAACATAAATTAAATAGTCTCACTGGAACTCTAGACAAAAATTTCATTTAAAAAATCAATAATAAATTATGATTATTTATGGTAGCAGAAAGGAATTCAATGTTGTATATTGGTTTGGAAACTATGACATGTTTCCTGGTGCTTGTTCAGTCAATAGCCAATATTCAGTGTAAATATTTCATTATGAATTCTGGTGACATGTCATTGTTAAGTAATTTCACATCTAAGGCATCGAATTTCCCCTTCATACATCATCTACTGTCCCCTCCTTAAAAATACAAACAAGTGTTGCTTCAAGATTGAGTGATGAATATAAAATACATAAAAGGTTGTATAATGCATAAATATGGTAGTAATAAACAATATTAGTATGTAAATATATTATATAGTGTGGTATATGTAATAAATAATACTACTATACAAATGTAACATACAATATATAAATATAAAATAGAAATATATAATATACTAAGTATATTATATATAATAAATATAATAAATGACATTATAGTATATTAGTATGAAAATATAATATGTAATATATGACAACTTCTTTCCACTGCCTCCACTCCCCCAAAAAAGAAACAGTCTAGACTAGAAGCAATTGAAGAGAACTCTTAAAAATTGTGATAAATATACTGAAGGTAGCTCTTCACAGTAAATGATTTCTGGAGAGGGTGGGGGTAGGGAAAGACTCAGTTTTCTTTAAGGGGCTGGCCAATGGGAGTTTGACCATGCTCTAGTGAGTATATGAACAATACAAATTGGATTTATTAGTTTTTTCTTCTTCTTTTGTTTTGAGTGAGGTCACAAAGGTGTGGGGTGGACCTGGGAGGACTGGGAAGTGAATGTAATCAGGGAGCATTATAAGAAATTTACAATAATCAATAAATATTGGTTAAAATATTTATAAAAATAAAATATAATTATAACTATATAACATACAATATACTTATAATATTAAAATATACTATGTAACATATATCTACATACTAATATTGTTTATTACATAAACTGCAAAATGATAAATATTTGATTGCCCCCACAGTGTCTGATACTGTCCCAGAGTTAATGGTGCTGAAATTTTCAATTGCCTATCTGTATATTTTTGTCTACATGTAGACACACACACACACACATACCTTATTTAAATTATGTTACAGAAGTGATATTAGGTCCCATATTATTCTGTATGTATTTTTCCCACTGAACAACTTTATGGATATTCTCAAAGCAAGTAATAGAGTTGCCTTCAAACACCTACATACCATTTAGCACACTATTATTATAGTTATTTTCTTAGTGATGGCAATTGGAGTTGTACTTCAAATTTTCTAGTTTTCTAGTCAATAACATTTACAGGGGAAACCATAATACATATATTTTTCCTACTTGTACAAGTATCTCTACACATGCTCCCAAAACCAAGATTAATGATCATAAATTGTGAGAATTAAAGCTTAATAAATAGTACCCAGTCACATTCATACTGACAAGCATCAATTCCCACATTTACCAATAAGTCTGGATGCTGAAAACTTCCTAAACCTTTACCAACATTTTATATTAGTAGTGGTAAGTATTTTTTATCAGCTTTAAAGACAAAGATGTACCCCATTGTTCTGTTTTGCCTTTTTTTTTTTATCACTGTTACTCTGCTTTTAGAAAAAATATCAATATCAGACTTCATGATGGATCTTAGTTTCTGTTCAACCCCAGTGTTGTGGGATATTGATTTAAGATAGATTACACTCATTTATGCTATGCAATATTTGTTTAATGGTGCAAAGATGTGCTGCATTCTTTTATGTTGCATTTGTTTAACTCTGTGAAGCTCTGTTACTTGGCATTCCTAAAATACCTGATAGGTGTAATAAAAAGCTGAATGGCCAATAGCTAGGCAGGAGAGAGGATTAGGTAGGGCTGCCATGCAGAGAGAATAAATGGGAGGAGAAATCTAGGGAAGAAAAGAAATAGAAAAAGAACAAGAGAAAAAAGAGGAGAGGGGGATGCCAGGGGCTGGCCACCCAGCCATATAACCAGCAGCATGGTAAGAAGGAAAGAAAGTGACATCAAATAGAGAAAAATAAAAGCCCAAAGGCAAAAGGTAGACGGGATAATTTAAGTTAAGAAAAGCTGGCTAGAAATAAATCAAATTAAGGCTGGGCATTCCAGATTTGGGGAGTTAAGAGAATGTGGTTCCTGGTTACCTCCCTCTGACCTGGCCTCAAGCTTTAGGCTTGGCTTTCACATTCCAAAAAGTGGACAGAGTCAGCCACCAAAGCTGCAGCAGAGGTCCCAGCAGCACCAGTTAGCAGTTTTTTGCTCATGAAGCAAAAAAAAAAAACAAAAAAAACACAAACCCAAAAACAAAAAACAAAACACAAAACACAAAAACCCAAACAAACAAACAAACAAACAAAACCAAAACCATAGAGAGACACACTAAAGACAAATTCATATTGGGGGGAAAAAACTCTAAACAGGTTACAGTGTGTTTAACAATGTATGTAGGCTTAAGAAAAAAGAGAAAGAATATAGACCATCATAGAAAAACAATAAAGTCTTTAAAGAGAAAGTAGAGTAATAAAAAAGAATAAGCCACATAGAGATGGGAAATACACAGTGAGTCTGGATTCTGAATTTTTTGATTGCTGGTAAGCAAATGACAGCTGCTGACAGACATGAGACTGAAAGAGAGACTGCTGAAATAAACCAGCCTAGATATTTTAAGAATGCCTTAACTTTAAAATGGAACTCAAAAAATGCATTGCTTTTGAGAAGAGGTTTTGCTTTTATGTTCATGAGAAAAGAGAGGTTGTGGATTCCTTCAGGGTTGATATGAATCAGGTTTGATGGAGAAAGACCTCCTGAATCTCGACAGGTAATACCTATCAATGAAGGTTATAGCTGGTCTTCCCAGGACTTGGCTATTATCTTACTTTTCTCAGGGACCACTAAAGATTCCTTCACCCACAGACAACAAGAAGCTGTCTAGAGAAGATGACACCCACATTATCAAGAGGTGGGATGGTGGTTGTTGTTTATTTGGTGGGTTATGGATGTTTGTTATCTTTCAGGGGAATATAGCAATATAGGATAAGAAGACAACTATTAATCTCAGATATTTTGCATTGGCATGGATTTTGGTATGTTGACACAAATTAAAAGTTAGTTTTGTTATACTATATACATGATCCTACTCATGTTTGGCGTATTGTGCTTATGCAGCTCATTAAAAATGAAATGTATAATTAAAAATGAGGTTAGTAGTTAACATATAATAAACTTGTAGTCATATTAGGTATGTTTTCAAGGTTAAACAGGTTATCTCTATTTTAGATAGATAGATGATTTTTAACACTTCAAAGACATATAGAACATGGCATTTAAGATGTTTAACCTAAGTTTTTTCATGACAATGAGACACATATCTTCCTGACAGAACCAATTTACTTTTTAGAAGGATGACAGGCATCAAAGAAACTCCATATGGAGTTTGCTTTCAGTGTGGCAAGGACACAGGAAAAAAGACCATTGAATTTTGCCAAAACAAGGCAGACAGTCCTTCAAGATTCCTGTTTCACAGAAGAGTCTGCCAGATATTCTGCAGGACACAGAGGAAAGCACCTGAAGAACTTTGATAATACAAGGCAGAACAGTCCTTCAAATTTCCTGCTTCACTGAAAAGCCTACTAGATATTCTAGGCCTGTAGGCTGAACATGGGTACCCCAACATTGCAGAAGAACTTTGGGTGACTGTTCAGGAAGCCAGATGTCTCTGTTATGAGGTAATACTATATCCTTCTGGGGTCTTTGATGGAGTTAAAGACTAAGTAGTAGTTATAGTTTTTCTAATTTATGATAGAAGGTAAATTAGATATAAAACTTTGGAATCACTAAGATAAGATAGATAATGAAGTATTTCCTCTGAACTTGCTAAATACAAATGGACTGAAAATTGTAAATGTAATTATTACTTGATAACTGTCTTTGTTGTATATAGTTTTACTGTGTTAAAGTTAAAACCTTTCATTTTTATTTAGACAAAGGGGAAAATGTGGAATATTAGTTTAAGATATATTACATCATTTATGACGTGGAATCTTTGTTTAATGATGCAAAGATGTACTCCATTCTTTTATGCTGCATTTGTTTAACTCTGTGGAGCTGTGTTCTTTGCCTGCCTAAAATGTGATTGGTCTAATAAAGAACTGAATAGCCAATATCTAGGCAAGAGAAAGAATTAGGCAGTGTTGGCAGGCAGAAAGAATAAATAATAGAAATCTAGAGAAGAGAGGATCGAGAAAAGGAGAAGGATGCCTGAGGCCAGCAACACAGCCAGCCATGGAGTAAAAAGGAAAGAAAGTTATATAAGAATAGAGAAAGATAAAAGCCCAGAGGCAATGGGTAGATGGGATAATTTAAATTAAGAAAAGCCAGAAACAAGCTAGTTAAGGCTGCATATTCATAAGTAAGAATAAGTCTCTGTGTACTTATTTATGGGCTGGGTGGCAGAACCCCAAAGAGCAAAGAATAAAAAAACCAGCTGCACCCTAGAGAGGTGTAAGATCTCCAAAGAGCAAAGAATAAAAAAACCAGCTGCACGCTAGAGAGGTGTAAGATCTCTTGTAAGATCATCCTCTGTGTATTGGACAATAGAGATTCTTCCCTTCCCAGTGTCTATAACAATGGCATAGAATTACTCTCTAACTGCATCATGAAGCTTTTGAAATGGTATGCTCACTGTTTTTTTTTTATTGTTTGTGTGTGATATGTGTTTGTGGGTTCATTCACAGGCATGTATGGCAGTTGGAGGATGATTTTGTGGAATCAGTGCCCTCCTTCAGCCATTATGTGGGTTCCAGGGATTGAACTCAGGTTGTTCCTGGGCTTGCTCAGAAAGCCCTTTTAACTGTGGAGGCATTTTAATGGCACTAAAAACTTTCTGCCCATTTCTTAGCCTCTTAGCAATATACTGTTGCTTCACACATACTCAATCAAATTGTTCAGTTGAATAACTGCTTGGTTATCATTTAGGTTCCTCCTAAATCTAACAGTTCAACAATCCCATTAGCCTGGCATTAGCTGAAGTTGCCATTATGCAAATTATGAAAGCAAAGAACTACTAGTTTCTGCATTACTCACATGTACATCAGGAATGGGTTTTGTTAAGAAAGAAACTCCCAGGATAACCAACGCAGACACAAAAAAGAGAATGATGGCATAATATAGATAGTGCACTCCACAGATGATCTTGGGACAATTAGTGGTGACCAGGCAACTCCCTGTCCCATAAGAAAACTCTGCAATCATACGGATAAGGCCCATCACAAGTCCAACCATCAGACCCCAGAATGCACCCTGTTAAAAACAAAACAAGAACACAACCAAGAGTGCTTAGGAAAAATGAGACACTCATTCAGGTAAGTCATAATTAATTACTACAATTTTATTAGGTAAGGACCAACAAACTGGGATAATTGCAAATACAAGCTAACAGCAGAAGTTGTCCTCTGTGGTCTTGAAATACCATCACACTGTCAACTGTCCAAACATAGGACTCTACTGTCAACACTGACCCAAAATGAAAAATGTCCTGATATGTCTTTTATATATAGAATAAAAGCTTGTACTTTATTTTGGAGAACAAATGGAATTATGATATTCATGCTACACAATTTGAAAAGCTAAGAAATCACTAGATACTAAGTGCTATGAAGCTGTCACTTGCCTGAAAATCACATAATGTAGTAAACAGCTAGAAACACATAAGGGATTAGACACACAAGTAAAAAGATCAGCTATTCTCGTCACAATAACAATGAACATGTTTTCATTTTTTATTAGCTTTAAAAAATATTTACTATGCTATCTCATTTGATCCTCATAGCACCTCCTATAAAGTAGCCACTATTACCATCTTCATTGGACAGAATGGAGTTATTTGCTTCATATCAGTATATTAGTGTCCTGATGGGACACCGACAGTTCATCTCCTTAACTCGTGCTCCCCAGCACTGTACCGTGCAATTGATGTTTTATAAACCATGTAAAGACTGTACTATGAATGGAGAGAACAAGTGTCAAATCACACTTTAGGAACAACCAGACATTGCAGTGACCACAGTAGAAATTGAAACAGGCCTTGGGTGTACACATGGAAGAGCAAGAATGCATCTTGTGACACCAGGGAGAGAAACAAGTTTTTCTTACACTCACAGGGAAAATCCCATTTTTCACTTACTTGTTCATTGACCCTTTTACAGAAGATGCCAAGCAGGAAGACAGCCGCAATAGGAGGCCCAAGGTAGCTGGAGATGGACTCTGTGTAGTGGATCAGTTGTCCACCTTGAGATACTTCTACTATCGGCACCCACAAGATGCTGGTGACAATTAGTACAGTGACAAACAGCCTATAAAAATAATCCAGACATTAAACAAGACCACCGTATTTGTTGATTTTTAAAAATGTGTCCTTGTGCCATTCATTCATTCATTTTCAAAATACAACTGAGTTTCTTGACCTGATATGAACCCATGCTGTGCTAATTATCTGTTAATTCAATGTCAACAATATTTATCTACACCTGTCATAAAGGCTTCTTCTAAGATTAATGCTTTCTAATAAGTCAAATGTCAGATGTTGTTTAATCATTCTTTAATTCAATGTACATATCTCAGAAATTAGTACTGTGTTAGTTTTGTTAATTGGTAGTTATTTTTGTAATAAAGTAGAATCCAGTTTTTTATGTTTTTCTTAGCTAGAGAAAACTAAATGAGTTTTCATTAGTAAGGATTAAAATAGCCTCTATCTTTCCCAGAATGCTAGATTAATTGACAAGAAATACTAGTTCATGCATTTTCCTGTTACGTATTTTCTAAACCTAGGGACTTCTATGCTTTGTATATGAGTAAATGAGCAAATATAATTAACAAGATTCTGCATGAAAGCTCATCATCTTCATATTCATCTGAAATGTGGACATGGTGGTGGGTAAATGGATGAACAAGTCTTTGGGCAGAAGACTGAGATACCAATGTCCACTTAAACTTTATGAAGTCTCTGCCACCTTGAAACAAAACTTAAATGTGACAATCATGAACCCCAGAAGACAGTAAAGATTCAATAAATTACACCATTACTATTGTCATTGTTCCCTTGGAAAGAAAACCAGATGCTTCCCAGTTCACTTTAATTGCTTTCTGTCACACACTCAAGTGGGCCAGCATGATCTGGCATAGCTTGTTTACATGGAGCAAGTATTTTTGTAATGTGTGTTTTTTCCATATTTGTATTTTGGGAGATTGATATTTGGTAAGAAAGATGAAACAAATATTACTTTGTCATTGAGACTTAAAAAGGACTTATGTCCAAGAAGATGTATTGAGTAGTGCAATCACTGTATCTTGAATACCAGCCCAGAAAAGCAAACAAAGAAACAAAATTATGCCACTCCATTCTCTTCTCTTACAGCCTTTATCCAGTCAAGATCTGGGCCAAGTGAGCTCCTCCAGGTTTACATCTCCAAGTGTTTAACCTAGTAAAGCTATTATTACTGTCAAAAGCAAAGAATAAACATACTCTAAGTATATTATTCAATATTGGTAGTATAAAAGGTAAATGATCTGTATTCTTGCCACTTATTTTACCAATCTATTTTTTCTAAGTTATAATAAGTCATAATCAGTAAGAAAGTTAAACCAAAGCAACATGGCCATGAACAATAGAGCAGATAATGCTGAGGCATTGAGATAATGGAGTACTATACAGCAAGGAACTGAAACAAATTGTATATGGAAACATGGATTATCATAATTATTACTGAATGTCATTTTACTGTGTGTATTAACATTAGTAATGAAATACTAATGTGTACAGTAGCTGCATGTGTGTTTCTTTTGAGATATACCACTAAAATGTATAGTTATGTTCTCCATGTCCCCTATATGTATGTCATACTTTAATCTTCAACTCATTTTCCAAAATACTATGATGGTGTTGGGTCTACTTGTTACTAATGAAAAGAAAAATGGGATCTTTCTTATCTATGCTCCCTGATTGTTTTTACTCCATTTATCTTCTGGACTCCCAGACTACTTAGGGATTGTTTGGTTAACAAAACCCTCTAAGCAACTTCTTGAACTAGTCCTTTACCCAAGTCTGTGCCTTTCTAATATCTAATTCATAATGAATGTGAAGTTGATAATCTCATTTGTGGTAGTAAATTCATTATCCCAAGCATTTGATATACTTGGATGAATCTAAAGATGAAGTACCAAGAGTAGGTGATAATTTGTGAAGATGTGATAGGAGGAGGTTGTCAGAGGAAAAGTTAAAACAAAAAAAAAATCACCTGAAGCACTTAAAATATGAAGAGCAGCCGGGCGGTGGTGGCGCATGCCTTTAATCCCAGCACTCGGGAGGCAGAGGCAGGCGGATCTCTGTGAGTTCAAGGCCAGCCTGGTCTCCAAAGCGAGATCCAGGAAAGGTGCAAAGCTACACAGAGAAACCCTGTCTTGAAAAACCAAAAAAATAAAAAATAAAAAAATAAAAAATAAATAAATAAAAATATGAAGAGCAAACATCTCATTTAAATGGTCTCAATTTTTGTCTGTGTAAAAATTTAAGTTGAATTAAATTGTTTCTACTGTTTCTTCTTCCACTATAGAATGATCATTATTTTCACTAAAGCTAAGGATACACAAACTTTAATTCATCCCTCCATCTTCCCTTCCTGAGAGAAATTCTAGGCAGAGACCAGGTTCCCTCACCGTCCAGCAATCAGGAGCTCTCTCTCAGATGCCTTCTTCCTCATCTTGGTGTAGAGGTCGATGGTGAAGAGGGTGCTGGCACTGTTGAAGATAGAGGTCAGGGAGCTCATAAGAGAGGCCACCATGACTGACAGCATCAGGCCTCGAAGTCCTGGGGTCAAGAGAGGGTACAAGCTCTGGTTAATGGCTGCATATCATTTTCTGTGAATTCCAGGCTAAAAATAGGGCATTGCTTCAAGATAATGGATTTGTCTGGAAAATTGACTATTTGAACAGATATCAAAATATGCATGTAATAGAAATGCATGTGGCACTTCTTGCATAATTCCTGGTGATCTCAATATCACACAATGGGGGAATTTAGTTCCCAGTACAAACTCAGATGTCATCTACTGAAACCTACTCTTAGAACAGAATAAGCTCTGTGATGCCATCTTTCTTTTCAGTGATCTCTTGACCACACAAAGAGTTAGTGGAAAAATATAGTTAATAGTTCTGCTGTTTTTGGAGAGAAAAAGCCAAGAATTTGGAATCATTATAGGAACCTGATGCTCTAGTTCCCTCTGGCCCCACATCTTCTAGAACAGAGGATGGGGGAATGTTGTGTCAGATCTGTGGGCTATGTTCCCTTCATTCTGAAAATGTTCACATGTATCAGGATGGAGAAAGGGCCATGGAAGTGTTAACCCAAGTTTTCAACTGGTCACACCTGAGTTCTCTACCTTGATCTGCTTCAATTCACCACAGTCACTCTCCAGCATCCTAATATTTTATTTACTTCCATATGCAGCTTATTTTATATCCCAGGAAACTGAAATGTGGATTCTAAATGGTAGGGGAACTTATTTTTGAAACTTCACCAATGTTTCTATACACCCAAGCTAGTGGTTGGGACATAATACATTCAATAAGTGATTATAAATTGAATAGACTGAGATCTAATGTCTTAGTGTCATTGGCCCATAATTAACCTTGACTCTTCTGGAAATATAGACTTGTGGTTAAAAATGCTTTTTATTATCAAAAAGAATATTTAAATATTCTTATTTTTCTTCAAAGAGTCTTGAGTCTGAAGAGTCAAGATTCTCCTAACAGAAGAAATCTGGAGCGTCTCTGGAATGTCTAGGTTCAACATATGGTTGGCACCATGTAAAAGGTGCCCAAGAAATGTCTATGAACAGAGCTGAATAATGAGAGCAAAGTAGTAATTGCTGAGTATCATACCACAACCCTTTCTATGCTCATCTGCAGACCAAGCATCTGAGGCTATGTGAGTCCAGGCTCTTACTTACCCATGGGCATCAGTTTCAGCACCATTGTTGGGTAGGCATAGTTAGTGCAGCCAATGTCAACACCACACTGCTTTACACACTCAGAAGGCACAACACAGGCCACCATATCTGAGGAGATATTCAGAGGTGAGTTCAGTGAGCTAGACTCAAGAAGGCATAGTTTGTAACCATTGGACAAAGAGGTAAGCTCATCGGTGGGAGAAAAGACCCTTGCCCAGAAAAATAGATCTCAATGGACTGACCCAATAGGCAGGACTGTCCCATAGATATGATCCAGCTAGAGTTTGAAAGCATGTGGAAGGAGCTATCACTGTCCATGGAATTCTGGAGAGTGATAGCTCCTTCCACATGCTTTCAAGCACTCTTTACTAGGCAACCCACAGCCACCACATGACCCCAAGAACCAGAGAGAGCACAGAAACTAAGGGACAAAACACTCACCAAAGACAACAACAAGTATTCACATCAAGAATTACAATCTTCTCAAACCCAGATGCCTAGATACCAGCATAAAAACACAACCAATAAAAGCCAAGGCAATATGTCTCCACTAGAGACCAGAAATTCTACTAAAGTATGCAATATAGTCGATGCACAAGAAAAGGACTTCAAAATAGCCTTTATGAATATGTTAGAGGTTCTTAAAGAGGATATGAATAAATATACTAATGAAAACACACACACACACACACACACACACACACACACACACACACACACACACACACAAAGCATTAGAATGAAACAAAGGAAACAGTTCAAAACATTGTAGTGGAAATAGAACCAATGAGAAAACACAAACTGAGGGAAATCTGGAAATAAAAAATTTAGGAACTTTAATAGGAACCTCAGAGGCAAGCCTCCCCAACTCTCTTAGTTACGGTTTCTATTGCTAAAACAAAACACCATGACTAAAGAGAAAGTTGAGGAAGAAAGAGTTTATTTGGCTTATACTTTAACATTGCTGTTCATCACTGAAGGAAGTCAGGATAGGAACTCAAATAGGCAGAATCCTGGTGTCAGGAGCTGATGCAGAGGCCATGGAGGGGAGCTGCTTACCAGCTTGCTCTCCAATTCCTTCTTATAGCACCCAAGAACAGCAGTCCAGAGATGGCACCACCCACCTTGGGCCGGGTCCTCCCCCATTGATCACTAAATGAGATAGTTTCCTGGTTCCTGCTGGCAGTACAGACAGCTCTTTCAAGAGGTCCTGCTACAGAGCACTTGAATGAAGTTTGTGGGCAGTGTGCTGCAAGCTGCTTGGTGGCTGTGTGAACCTGCTCCTTCCCAGAGTTGGGGTAGTGAGTATGGCTCCCAGAGCTGACAGTGAATGTACCTCTATCATGTTGGAAGGAAGAGCAGGGTGGAGCCACTGTTTGGTCCTAGCCATGCTGCAGTTTAAAGCAATGGTCAGAAAATGATTACAGATATACAATAAAACAGATTCAGATGGATTTTTAAACAGTATGTTTAAAAATATATGTAGGCTTGAGAGAGTAAAAACAGGTAGAGTAAGTCCTTAATAAAGAAATAGAATAATTTTTAAAAAGCCATGTAAAGATTGAAAATACACATAGAGTCTGGATACTGCATATTATTGTATTGTCTTTGGTATTTTTTTTTTTAACTACAGAGACATTTGATTTAAGGCTGCTAAGTTAAATATATATAATATATATATAATATATATATATATTATATATGTTCTAAAGGTCTCTTAACTTCAAAACTTGGGTCTAAGGATATGTTGCTTTGGAAAAGAGGTTCTGATTTTGTTTCCAAAGAAGATAAGCTACAGATTCCATCTAAGTTAATATAGTTTGATTGAGCAAGACTCCCTGAAAGGTCTCTGATGGTAACAATGGCCCAGGTGATCCAACATCTACAACAGCTTCAAGGCTACTGGCTGAGATTGACCAACCACAAAACACCCCAGTAAGGACTTGACCATAATTCTAAATTTCTCAGGATCCCCACAAGATTACCAGCACCCCAATCAGCAGGAAGTAGTATAGAAAACTATGACCAATTCCAAAAATATTGTTTATGAATGTTTGTTTTTATTTAAAGGGGCTCGGATATAAATGGCTAATGGTCATAGTCAATCTCTTTCTAAAGAAAAAAGGGTCATATAATATAGAAATGATGAAAAGAAAAGGTAGATTATTTTATCTACTTTAATCTGAAAAACAACTGTTAATCTGAAAAAATTTTACATTAGTATGAATCTGGGTTTATTGATACAAATTTAAACTTAATTTTGCTATACTATATGTATATTTCTGCTCTTGTTTGGGGTGTTATGTTTATACAGTTCATTTGAAATTGTAATGTATAATTAAAAATACAAATTAATAGTCATCTATAATAGTCAAACTTATAGTCATGTTAGTTAGGTTTTCTAGATGTGCGGAGATAATTTCAGATAGGTAGGTAACCTTCAAACACTTCAAAGACCTACAGAATATGACATTTAAAATGTTTTAAGAACTTAGATTTGGGGAATGGGAAAAGGGGCGAGAGGGAAAACAGGGGTTGGTATGTAAAATGAAAAAAAATTAAATAAAAAAGAGCTTAAAAAAGGACTTAGACTTTTCTGGACAGTGAGATGCTCTGGTCCTGGCAACACCAATTATTTCAAAGAGGATGATGGGCATCAAAGAAACTCATTATGGAGTTTGCTTACAATGCGGAAAAGGCTAATCATTTGAGCAAGAAACTGATCTTGCCTGGACTAATTGACAATATGTTGTATAAACTGGACATGCAGGATCCATAAGAAAGTGACTACTGAACTTTGCCCAAACAAGGTGAGATGGTCCCTCATGTGTCTGCTTCACAGAAGAAACTACCAGACATTCTACAGGACACAGAGAAAAGCGACTGTTGAATTTTGCCAGGCAAACAGTCCTTCAAATTTCCTGCTTCACTAAAAAGTATGCCAGAGACTCTAGCCTATAGGCTGAAGGTAGATATCCCAACATTGCAGAGGAACTTTGGGTGATCTTCCAGGCAGCCAAATGTCTCTATCATTTCTAGAATTATGGAAGTTGCTTGCAATGCACTTTCTGTTTACTCGGATAATATTATATCCTTCTAAGGTCTTTGATGGTGTTGAAGACTACATAGTTATAATTATCATTTTCCTTAGTCATGATAAAAGATAAATTAGAGCCGGGTGGTGGTGGTGCATGCCTTTAATCCCAGCACTCAGGAGGCAGAGCTAGGTGGATCTCTGTGAGTTCAAGGCCAGCCTGGTCTACAGAGCAAGATCCAGGACTGACACCAAAGCTACACAGAGAAGCCCTGTCTTGAAAAAAACAAACAAACAAAAAGATAAATTAGATATAAAACTTTAGGCTCAGAAAAATAGGATAAATGATAAAATGTTTTCTTTAATTTTGCCAAATACAAATAGACTATACATTGTAACTGTAATTCTTGCTTGATAACTGTTTTGTTATATGTAATTTTACTATATTAAAATTAAAACTTTCCTTTTTGATTAGACAGAAAAGGGGAAGTGCTGTGGGATGGTCTTTCTTTACACTGTGAATGCATGTTGCTGCCATTGGTTAATAAAGAAGCTGCTTGGACCTATGGCAAGACAGGAGACAGCTAGGCATGAAATCTTTCAGAGATATAGGAAGAAGAAAGGTAGGGTTAGGGGAGATGCCATCCAGCTGCCCAAGGAACAATATTCCAGCAGACTGGTAACAGCCACTTGGCAATGTATAGATTAAAAGAAATGGGTTAGTTTAAGATGAACGAGCTAGTTAGTAATAAGCCTGGGCCACAGACCAAACAGCTTGTAATTAAGATGAGCCTCTGTGTGTTTATTTGAGACTGAATAGCTGCAGGACACAGAAAAATTTCTATCTACACTCACTGTTTCAAATGTCTCAAAGGACATAAACAGAGTACAAAGAGAAACAGTGTCAAATATGCAAAACTAATTTTCCTGCCTCTGACACACTGGTACAAGCAATTTTCACATCCTTGAGTTCACCTTTTATTTCTACCTAAAACAGGTTCCCTATTTATTAAGGTTTTGCTATATCTTAAAAATACTTGGGGTTGGACAGATGGCTCAGCAGTCAAGAGCACTTGCTGTTCTTGCAGAGGACTTGGGTTTGGTTCCCAGTATCCACACGACAGCTTACAACCACCCATAACTCAAATTCCAGAGAATTTGATGACATTTTCTGGCCTCTGTTGGCACCAGACATGCACATAACACACAGGCATACATGTAGGCAAAATACCCATACACAGAAAATAAATCTAAAAGAATTTAAAAGAATAAACTCTTATAAGACTTTAAGAATAAAATCAAGATTAAGTGTGTCTGTAGCTTGCCTGTGTACAGAATTCGGCTGATCATCCCTGGCATTACCATGAAAAATATGGGCAGCAGCTTCAGGTACCCACACACTATGCAGGCGGCCTTCACATGGGACATGTTCTTGCCACATAAGCAGCGCTGTACAATGACCTGCCAGGAAAACACAATACAGTGAGTGAGACAACCAGAGAATGATGTCCAAGCTGTCTTTCAGAGTTTAAAATGGCAATAAGAAGTGATGGTGTTGGTGTAAACTAATGGGCTTTGCAGGAATACTATGATTTGAAATACCATTTAATTTGTATGTTATGTGGCTTCGTTCCTCAAGCAATCTTAACTCTCTCATAACATTCTGAATATGAGCAATGTATGTAAGACTCTCGGCATATGTAAGTCAATACATATTAGCTATAGTTAAAATATGTTTAGAAGCTCCCAGGGAGATGTCTCAGATATTTTCACTTTCTATATAAGCACAAGAACCCAGATTTGGGTCCATAGAGCCCATGCAAACCTGGGCAGGGTGGCATGTGTCTGTAATCCCAGTGCTCTTAAGGCTAATGGAGTACAGAGATTGGAAAATCCTTGGAAACTTTCTGGCCAGCTAGCCTGGCATATGAAACAGTGGCCAAAAGATCCATGTGGAATGTGAGGACTGACATCTGTGCTTGTCCTCTGACCTCTACAGGTGTACTGTGACAAGTATGTGCCTATGTTCATGAGAATGCATAGGGTGTCCAGGCTGCATTACATAATGCCTATTGTTGTGGAGTATTATTTTAAGGTGTGTTGCTTTTGTTTATGTTGCATATGTTTGACTCTGTGAAGCTGTGTTACAGTGCCCGTCTAAAACACCTTAATGATCTAATAAAGAACTGAACAGCCAATAGCAAGGCAGGAGAGAGAGATAGGCAAGACTGGCAGGTAGAGAGAATATATAGAAGGAGAAATCTGGGAGAAAGAAGGAAGGAGCAAGAGAAGGAGGAAGATATCAAGGGCCAGCCACCTAGCTACACAGCAAGTCATGGAGTAAGAAACAATGAAATGTATACAGAAATAGAGAGAGGTAAAAACCTGAAGGCAAAAGCTAGACAGGATAATTTAAGTTAAGTAAAGCTGGATATCAACAAGCCAAGCTAAGGCCAGGCATTTACAATTAAGGATAAGCCTCCATGTGTGATTTATTTGGGAGCTGGGTGGTAAGCCCCTCAAAACAGCAGAAAAAAATCAACAGCACCCTATAGTAGTAATACTGCCTTATGTTGTGTTTTAAGCAGTAAATAAATATTGTTGGCATCACCAGGATCTTTGTGCTGTTATGAGGTAATTGCCTCTTTGACTAGGCAAAGATCTGTCTGGATCTCTGTGAGTTCAAGGCAACCCTGGAATACATGAGATTGACTCAGTCTAGGAGAGAAAACAAAGCCAGGTAGTGGTGGCACACATCTTTAATACCAGCACTTGAGATCTCGTGCCTTTGCTTGGCAAGCACACATGCCTTTAATCCCAGGAAGTAATATGGCAGGGTGGAGAAAGTTATATAAGGCTTGAGGAGACAGGAACTAAAGGCTCTTTTTGGCTGAGGCCTTTCTTGTGAGGACTCAGAGGCTTTCAGTCTGAGGATTCATGGAAATAGGATTGGCTGAGGAGTTGGTGAGGGGAGGCTGGCCTATGGCTTGCTCTGCTTCTCTGATCTTTCAGCTTTCACCCCAATATCTGGTACTGGGTTTTTATTAAAAGACCATTTAAGATTTGAACTACATGCCTATTTCTATGGGAACACAATAATCAGGCAGTAAGTAGATCAATGAGACATCCATGTAGATTATTTCAGAATGTTCTGAGAACACCAAGCTATGAATCATATTTAGTTATGATGATCCTCAAAGAAGAATGCGTATAATTTAAAATTCCTACTGAACTTACGCAAATCTCTCAAGAGTTCTATAGAAAAGCATGATCTATAAAACAATTCCATAATGTCTTGTATACTTCTCTTTTCTCCTCCCACCTCTTGCAGTGCTGGGGGTTCAAACCCAGGGTCTTGTATTTGCCAGGCAGATGTTCTACTGTTGTATATCCCAAGCTTCTCATAAAACTACAACTTCTTGGTATTTTCTTCTAAAACATTGTCAAAAATAGGGATTCTTTCACTTGATAATTGCCTTTAGTTAGGGTTTCTGCTGTTGTGATAAAACACCACAAACAAAAGCAATTTGGAGAGAAAATTATTTATTACACCTTACAGTTTATAAGTCCATCCCTGAAGGAAGCCAGGGAAGGAATCCAGGAACCTGGAGACAAGAAGTAGAGCGGAAGCCATGAAGGAGTGCTGCTCACTGGATTGCTCCTCATGGCTTGCTCACCCTGCTTTCTTAGAGCATCCAGGACCCTAAGCCCAGAGGCGGCACTGCCCACAGTGAACTAGAACTTCCCACATCAATCATCAGTTAAGAAAATGCACCACAGGCCTTTCCACAGGCCAATCTGGTGGGGCATTTTCTCAACTGAGGTTCACTCTTCTAAAATGACTCTAGCTTATGTTAAGCTGACACAAAACTATGTAGCAAAATTGACCCCTTTTTAACTTGACACACAAACACATCACTGTTAAACTATAACCTTTTCTTCCTTGTTTATCCCCAAGATCTCATATTTATGTTAATATCACAATATAAAACATTCTAATTTTTAAAAGTCCCACAGTCTTTAAAATTTCAAATATTTTAACAGTTTGGTTTCTTAAAAAATTCAAAGTATTATTTTTCTTTTTTTTTATTGAAAATGGATTCTTCCATATTGTATATTCTGATTGTGGTTCCCCTCTCCATTTCCTCCAAGATCATCCCCAAAGTTTCTTTTAAAGTATAAAGTTTCTCCAAAATAGCCAAAGTCTCTCTAAAATTCCAAAGTCTCTTGACTATGGGATCCCAAAAAATCAGAAGTATGTAGTTCTTACCCAAAGCAGGAAGAATCACAGTCAGAATCAAATCAAAACAAAACTAAGACTCAAAACAAATAAGCTCAGTGCTTGATGCCTGGAACCCATTCATCATCCTCTGAGCTCCAAATGACTGGGGCAGCAGCTCTTCACTGAACCTGCCATCTGGATCTGTATTAGCTGATTTTATGTCAACTTGACACAAGGCTAGAGTCATGGGGGCGGGGGGAGGAAATTCATTTGAGGAGCTGTCTCCATGAGATCCATCTGTAAGGCATATTCTTAATTAGTGATTGATGGGAAAGGGCCCAGCCCACTGTGGGTGGTTCCATTCCTGGCCTGGTGGTCCTGGGTTCTATAAGAAATCAGGCTGAGCTAGCCATGGGAAGCAAACCAGTAAACAGGTCCCCTCCATGGCCTCTGCATCAGCTCCTGCCTCCAGGTTCCTGCCCTGCTTTAGTTCCTACCCTAATTTCCCTTGATGATGAACAGTGATGTGGAAGTGTAAGCCAAATAAACCCTTTCCTCTTCAACTTACTGTTTGGTCATGGTGTTTCATCTCAGCAAATATGAATCCTAAGACAGAAGCACATGCAGCTTGTCTCCTAGGCTCAGGCAGGTTTCACCCTACTCCTGCTTCTACCCTTGGTGATCATCTTGTGATCCTTGCATCTTCAAAATGCTGGAGTCTCTACTGCAACTGAACTGCACCTTCACCAGTATCATATTCTGGCCTCTCTTGGGTGACTCTGACTTTGTCACATCATACCAAGCCTCCACTTCTTTCCATGGCCCTGTCAATCCTGAGGCTTCTACTGCAATTAAGCCTGCACATTTATTAATATCTTCTCCTGAACTCTCACAGTGCCAAGCCTCAGTGGTTCTCCACAGCCCCTTCATTATTTCAAAGCCAGTACCACCTGGAAAACTATCACACATTACTAAGTTTGGCTGCCAGCACTAGGTACAGCCTTACTTCTGGGCCATAGCTTCTGTGTGTCAGCCCTAAGGAAACTCTTCCCATCAAAGATGCTGGATGCTTCTTAATCATGGCTGATTTCAAAGCCCCAGCTGACCAGCATCCACTGTCCTAGTAAAGCAAAGGTCTCATTTCAATGATGCTAAATTCAAAATATCAAATGGCTCTGATGGAATTCTTAAAGGACTCTCAAACGTCCCTCTGGAACTTTATAAGGTAGCCCCCACTGTCTGCCCTTCTCTCCATAGCCTTATCTTCCAAACTCCCACAGAACAGCCCACTGTCCTGAGCACTCAATGTATTTACTAGCCCAAAGTTCAAATGCTACCACAATCCTTCCCAAAATACACAGTCAGGTCCATCAGAGCACTATTCCATGACCTGGTACAAATTTCTGTTAGGGTGTCTTAGTTAGGGTCTCTATTGCCAAGATAAAACACAATGACCAAAAACAACTTGGGAAAGAAAGGGTTTATTTTACCTTACAGCATATAAATCCATCACTGAGGGAAACCAGAGAAGGATCTCAGGGCAGGAACATGGAAGCAGGAACTGAAGTAGAAGCCATGGAAGCATTCTGCTTACTGGCTTGCTCAGCCTGCTTTCTTTCTAAAACTGGACTGAATAAAGGATAGGGTAGTGGCTGAGAGCATTTACTTCTAATGAGGTCTAAGGTCGTGTCTGTGCTTATGGTTCACAGACACACTCTCGGTACAAGAAGAATGGTGATAAACAGCAAAACACTTATTTGAAGGAGCCTGCTGTGTTTGCTTTGGAGGGACATGATACAACATAGGGTGTGGCACCAAGTAGCTCTTTTTCGTAGGTGCTGTGGAAATGTTTGGATTTTAAAATGATGTTTATGTGTAGAAACCAGAACCTAGATGCTTTTGTATGAGATGAGAAGTAACAGACATTCCCCACCCAACACACACACTTATTCACTTACTTGGTCTGTGCACCAGTACCACATAGCTGTAATAACCATTCCAAATGCAGTTCCTGGCCATGGAATGTCTCCAGTGACAGCATCTCGGAAGATGTGGAAGGAGTCCGGCTGAGGAGTGTAGCACTTGGGGCTGATTGTCAGGTTGTCCCCCTCAATTACAGATGGGATAGCATTCATGTACTTTTCTGTAAAATTTTCATAGCCTCCAACTTCAATAAATGCTGCAAAAGCATTAGAGAAATAAAATGTCTCCTGTATATTGCAGAGAGCTGCTGTTAATAATTATTCCCTGAAGTGGAATCCATGCTAACCTCAGTGACCTTCTCTCCTGATATACATCCCAACCACAGCTTCCCCTCCCTCCACTCTTCTCAGTTCACCCCTATACCTCTCCTCTCCCCCAGATCCACTGCTCCTCCATTTCCCTTAAGAAAAGAGTAGGCCTCCCAGGGATATCAACCAAACATGGCATGACAAGATACAATAAGACTAGGTACAAATCCCCATATCAAGACTTGATAAGGGCAACTCAGTAGGAAGAAAAGTGTCCTATGAACAGGCAAGAGATTCAGAGAGTACCCCCTTTTAACAGATTGTTATATAAAATAGTACAACTGGTTAATAGTTACCTGAAATTTTCTAATACTTAATTCTGTATTTAGTAAAAGCTCTAGATAAATCAAAAGGTTTTTTATTTTAGTAAGTGTTTGGTTTGGGAAATTTATTATTATTATTTATATTATTATTATTGTTTGATTTTTTGAGATGGGTTTTTCTGTGTAGTCCTGACTGTTCTGGAACTCACTCTGTAGACCAGGCTTGCCTCAAACTTAGAAATATGTCTGCTTTTGCCTCCAGAGTGCTGGGATTAAAGGCGGGCGCCACCACCGCTTGGTTGCTTTTTCAAACTGAAACATCATTTTCACTCTTCTTTTTCTCTCTCCAGTCCCTCCCCTGCACCCATCATCACCATCACCATCATCACCATCATCATCATCACCATCATCATCATCATCACTATCATCATCATCACCATCATCACCATCACCATCATCACCATCACCATCATCATCATCACCATCATCATCATCACCATCATCATCACCATCATCATCATCATCACCATCCTCCTCCTCCTCCTCCTCTCTCTCTCTCTCTCTCTCAATTCAAAGCTTTTAGGTCACCAAGCAGGCCCCCAAACGGCAATGCTGACAACGTTCTAAGATGAAGGCCCAAGCCCAACCCCGCCTGGTTCTTACTCGATAAACGTAAGAATCCATACCAGGTTAAAGAAACCTAAACTGAGCATTCCTCAAGAAACTTCACGATTCAGGTTTCTGTTTGTCAAGAAAGCCACTGCTTCCCTTCTTTTCCCTGATGGGCAGCTGATGTGCAAAGTGCACCTAGTTCCTGATTAACCAGAACAGTCCCCATCAGTTCAAGGACCAACATCCTGCTGACTACCACATCAAGTCCACTTGCTTTCCTGCTGAACTGCTGCTCTCTATGCCTGTGAGATAACCAGGCAGTTCCCTCCACAATAAACTGTTTTTCTATCTGTGGAGTGGTATAGTTAGGAGATTTGTTCCATTCACCTTGGACTGGCCTCTTTTACTTTAACAGTTATTATTGATACAACTACAACAGAAACCAATGGCTTTTATACTTTCAACCAATACTCCTCTGAAGTTATCAGCCAAGGGTTTTCATCTATTCTGAGCACAAAGAAATGGAGGTTAAATAATAAAATTAACCAAAGCAATATTTTTAAAGGAAATAGAACTCATTTTCTTCTTTTTGATAAAATAAAGCAAGAAAGATGCTAGGCAAACATTTCCATGATGGGAATTATAATAATGACAGGAAAATATGACTCAGGAGAATTTGAAGGAAGCAATAATGGACAGATAGACAGAAACAAGAATCTAGGGATCTATAGATGTAGTCCTGGCTTACCAAACACCATGAGGATGAAAGATCCAATCAGCATGATAATGGCCTGGAGGGTATCTGTGTAAATCACAGATGCCAAGCCCCCTGTGGAGATAAAGAGAGGAACCAGCTTTTTATCCACATGCAGTTATGTATTTGCCTTCAGAAATGGCTTCTCCTCCACCCCAGATGCATTAAAAAAAAAACATTAAAAATGGCAGGAACAAACATCCAAAGCCCCTGGCTGCCAGGAGTGAGCCTATTAGTCCAGCTACCTGGGAGGTTGAAGCCAAAAGAATGTAAGCCTCAAGGTCCTCTGAGGTCCAGAGTCAGTCCAAGAATGGACTGGGTAGCTTAGACTTAGTAGCTAAAAACCAAAACAAGAAAATAGAGAAGCTGCAGGCTGAGTCACAAGCTTGATTCTTAGTTCATCTGTATTTGAGATAGCGTCTTATTCTGTAGCCAAGGCTGCTCTTGAGTCTTTATGTTGGCCAGGCTGGTCTTGAACTCCTGGCAATCCTTCTGCTTTAGTTTCCCATTCCTGGGATTACAAGTGTGAGCTACTATACCTAAATAAGCCTGTTTCCATAGCTTTATCTCCCTAATATGTCTTCCATTAGTTCTACTCTCTCTCTAGCCTATTCTTTCTTTTGTTTTGTTTTCTCTTCTCTTCTCCCCTCTCCTCCCATCCCCTCTCTTCCCCTCACTTCCCTGGCCCTTCTCCCTCTAACTTTGTCTTTTTCCTGACAGGGCCTTGCTCTGTAACCCAGGTTGGCCTTGACTCTCAATTCTCCTGTCTCAGCTTTCTTAGCTCTAGAATAATGGGATATGACACCATGAATAGCCCTTGTCTTGTATCTGTCTGCTCAAAGTTTCTCTTACAGTGTAGTTTCACTGTTATGCTTTATAAATATAAAGTAGGAGAAAGGGCAGAAGTTTAATATCACTTTGGTTTTCTTATTTAGCTGTCCTTGTGCAAAGCCATCTAGCAAAACCATGTTTGCTCTAGTGTGGGAATATATCATTGGTTCCTTAACGGAGTGTCTTATTTAGTGGCTATGTTTTCTGCACTATGATACAGGCACAAACACATGTGCACACACATGGGTGGGATCAGCAGCAGGTGGCACATCTCAACCAAGGACACAGAGGACTCACCAGTGATTGTGAAAACAGCAGTGATAGCCAAAAGGATGAAGATCGACAGGTAAAGGTCCAGTCCGAATGCCAGCTTTATGAATATGGCTCCAGAAAATATGTTTGACTAGAAAGGGAACAGCAAAGATGGGGAAAAGCATGTACTTCAGGCCTCTGGCTTCTTTTTTCAAGGGTCAGTGCTCCACCCTCTTCTTGGTAACCTCCTATTCACTCCTGAAGACACTATATAAATATCCCCACAGGAAGATATTCAAACAGCAGTTTCGTTTACTACTTATCTTCTAAGCAATGACTTCATTGCTCCATTGAGGAACTTACCAAATGAGGTGCCATTGCCTGAGAATTCTCTTTGCCATGAGGATTACAGATGCTCATTAGTTACTGATGGGAATCTCAGTAACTTCTGATGGACCAAAATATATATTCTTTGTTTTAAATGTATTTTGTATATGAGTGGTGTGTGTGTGTGTGTGTGTGTGTGTGTGTGTGTGTGTGTGTGTGTGTGAAGAATGATAGATCAGATATCCTGATCTATCATTCTTCACTTTATTTCTTTGAGACAGGGTCTTTCAGAGAGAGTTACAGGTAGGTAGATGGTGCACAAGCCCACTGATTCCTATTTTCTCCTGCCTTGTCGACCAGCTCTGGAGTTGTAGGTGAGAACATGTGCTGTGGAACAATCATTTTGTACACGATGAATATTCGTTGCTCTCATTGGTTTAACAAAGGACTAACTGGCCAATGGCTAGACAGGAAGAGGTTAAGTGGGAAAGCCAAACTGAAAGGATGATGGGAAGATGAAGGACAGGGTCATGGGAGTTGCAAGGAGATACAGAGGAAGCAGGAGATGAACTTGCTGTGCTGAAAAAAGCTACCACAACATGGTAGAACGTAGATATTAAATATGGGTCAATTTAAGATGTAAGAGCTAGTTAGTAACAAGTCTAAGTTATTGGCAAAGCATTTATAACTAATAATAAGTCTCTGTGTGGTTAGCTGGCAGGACAGAACAGACTGGTGGAACAGAGAATGTCTGCTTACAATTGTTGCCCGGCATCCAGTACCTGCATCCACATAGGACCTGAGAAAGCTTAAAAAATGTTCCAAACACACAAAAACAGAGCCAAACATGGCTTCCTAGTCTCACAATCTCATGCCAGTCTCAATAAAGAGACACATCTCCCAGCAGCTGCCTGTGGGATGGAGTCAGCCACCAGCCTTCATGTACTAGCATCATGCATTAAGCTGGGCAGGACAGGTGACTGACATACCAGTTTAAGAATAGTGTCATGCAATCAAAGAACACTACAGATGCTCAATAAAGACAGATACAGATGAAAGAAACCCCTAAACAGGTAGCAGTGTGTTTAAAAATATACATGGGCTTGAGAAGGAAAAGAAAAAGGGTATATACAGTCATGGAATTAAAAATAATTTAAAAATAATTAAGCAGGTCTACAGAGATGGCTCAGAGGTTAAGAGCACTAGCTGTTCTTCCAGAGGTCCTGAGTTCAATTCCCAGCAACCACATGGTGGCTCACAATAATCTATAATGAAACCTGTTGCCCTCTTATGACATTCAGGCAGAACACTGTATACATAATAAATAAATCTTAAAAAAATAATAATAAAGTCCTTAAAAAAGTAGTAAAGTAATATAAAAGAAAAAAATCATGTAAAGATGGAAAATACACAGGGAGTCTGAATCCTGTATGTTATTGTGTTGTCTCTAATTTTTTTGATTAGATGAATAAGTGATACTGCTAAGGCACATTGGATTATGGAAGCTGTTGGATTAAGCCAACCTATATATTTTGAAAATGTCTTGACTTCAAAATGGAAGTTAAAAATGCTTTGGAGAAAAGGTTATATTTTTATTTCCATAGAAAATGAAAGGCTGTGGATTCCTCCCAATTTAATAGAGATCAGATTTGATTGGGGAAGACCCTCTGAAAATCCTGGCTACAAACATAAAGAAATAAACCTAGAAAAACTACAAGACACATAAGGTATATTTTACCTGCTCAAACAAAACAAAAAACATCATCTTTGACCAACTTGTGTACAATGCATAGTCTATACTTGTATTAATACAGATATACATGTTACATTTAAAAGTTTATGTATTTTCAGAACAAGGGAACCAGACACCAATGAAAATGGATGAGCCAGGTGATCCAACATCTCAGAGCACCTCTGCTGCAGTTTTCTCAGAGTTCTACATTCAGAACAGCTTCAAGGCTACTGGCTGAAATGATCCAGTCTCATATACTAGTCCAATCAAGACTTAACAATTATCCCGAATTTTCTGAGGGTCCCCAAAACGTACCAGTGACCCCAGACAACAGGGAGTAGTCTAGAGAACAATGCCCACATTCCCAAAAGATGGGGTGTGGGTGAGTTTTGGTTATACAATGGATTATGGATGTTTGTCATTTTTTAGGGTGGTTGGTTCCAAGCTGTTATTGGTCATAGTCAGAAAAGAGCTAAACAAAGAAGTTAAATTCAAAGATCTCTTTCTAAAGGAAAAAAGGGGGATATAATATAGAAATGATGAGATAAATGCAGAGGTTATTGAATCTACTTTAATCCAAAAAGCAACTATTAATCTCAAAATATTTTACATTGGTATGGTTTTTGGTTTATTGATATAAATTTAAAGTTATTTGTGTTATACTGTATGTATGTCCCTACTTTTGTTTGGAGTATTATACTTATGCAGCTCATTTAAAAATATAATATATAATATAAAAATACAGGCTAGTAGTTAGTCATCTATAATAATCAAACTTATAGTCGTATTAGGTATGTTTTCTTTTTCTTTTTTTTTTTTTTTTGGTTTTTCGAGACAGGGTTTCTCTGTGTAGCTTTGCGCCTTTCCTGGATCTCGCGCTGTAGACCAGGCTGGCCTCGAACTCACAGAGATCCGCCTGCCTCTGCCTCCCGAGTGCTGGGATTAAAGGCGTGCGCCACCACCGCCCGGCTAGGTATGTTTTCAAGTTTAAACAGATAAATTTAGATAGATAGGTAATCTTCAAACACTTCAAAGACCTACAGAATATGGCATTTTAAATGTTTTAATAACATAAAGCTTTTCATGACAGTGAGACACATTTGTTCCTGGTAGTACCATTTACTTCAGAGAAGATGATGGGAATCACAGAAACTCTGTATGGAGTTTGCCATCTTTATAGCAAAAGCTAGCCATTTGGGCAAAATACTGCTCTTGTCTCAATTGCAGACAGTATATTATCCAAAATGGGCCAGCAGGACACCCACAAAAAGAGACTGCCAAATTTTGCCAAGACAAGGTAGGACAGTCCTTTAAAAATCCTCTGCTTCTCATAAATGTCTGTCAAATGTACTAGGCCTATAGGCCAAAGATGGATGCCCCAATATTACAGAAGAACTTTGGGTGACTGTCCAGGCAGCCAGATGTCCCTGTTATTAGGTAACATTACACGCTTCTGGGGTCTTTGATGGAGTTAAGGATTAAATAATTAGATAAAGTTTTTCTTACTTAAAAGGTAAATTAGGTATAAAAGTTTATACTCACAAAGATAAGGTAGATAATAGAGTATTTTCTCTAAATTTGCCAAATACAAATGGACTGAATATTATATCTGTAATTCTTACTTGAGAACTGTTTTTGTTATATATAATTTCACCGTTAAAGTAAAACCTTCATTTTTAATTAAACAAAAAGGGGGAAATGCTGTAAACAATATTTTTGTACACTGTGAATATTTATTGTTCTCATTGGTTTGGTAAAGAGCTAACTGGTCAATAGATATGCAGAAAGAGGTTAGGTGGAGAGCCAAACTGAGAGGACAATGGGAAGAAGAAGGGTGGGGCCACAGGAATTGTGAGGAGACACAGAGAAAGCAGGGGACGAATTTACCATGCTGACAAAAGGTACTGCCACACGGTAGATTATAGTTATTAAATATGGGTCAATTAAAGATGTAAGAGGTAGTTACAAATAAGCCTATGCTGTTGGCCAAACATTTATAACTAATAATAAGTCTCTGTGTGGTTATTTGGGAGTGGGCTGGCAGGACAGAACTGATTGGAGAGACAGAGAAAGTCCACCTACACACAGTCAGACTGTGAGATAATTTGACAACCAATGGCCTGACTTAATCCTCCCTCACCAACTCCTTGCCTCACTCTGGGACCTGGCCACCCCAGGGGGTGCCCTCCAGCAGTTGTGTGAGTAACCAACCACTGTCTGATTGTTCTGTAAGATAGAACCCATACCTGATACTGCTCGGTTGGTCAAGAACCTGAGACTACATATTTCTAGGTCATAGAGGAAAACCAAATACTAAATTCTCCAAATGAAACATACCAATAAAATGACTCCTAACAACATTATGCTATACTCATAGATCAGTGCCCTGCTCAGCTATCATCAGAGAAACTTTCTCCTGTAGTAGATTATAATATTATATAATATATAATATTATAATAACACAGAGACACAAAACTGGACAATGTTGAGAGAACTTGATTTAAAAAAAAAAAAAGAAGAGAACTGGATACTTTGGAACACTCCATCCTAAATGGGAGGTGTCCTTAAAATTCTTCCCCTCAGGCCTCAGCGAACTCTGAAGAAGAGGAGGAGGAAAGATTGTAAGAGTCAGAGGGGATGGAGGACACTGAGGAAACAGGTCTTCTAGACACAGCAGGACTGACACATATATGAACTCACAGAGACAGAGGCTGCATGCACAGGACCTACACAGGTCTTGACCAGAGAGGGTCCCAGTGCTGATTGGGAACTGGACACATGGGCCCACTCCTAATCCATAAGCTACCTCCAACTGGTAACCACTAATGAAGGAAAATTAGTCTTCACCAATGGAGTCTCACAGGGTATACAATCACACTTAAGGGCAGGTCCCATGCCCAGTGGTAGATGGCCGAAAGAATACAAACTCAATGGTATTGTTGGAGGGCTTTTTTCTTTTTTCTGTTTTGTCTTATAATGCTTCATCTGAACATTATTTATTTCCTTTTTCCCTTACAGATCTTTTCTTTATATATTATGATTCCCAATTTTGTTTTTGTTTTTTTTTTTCTTTTTTTTTTTTTAAATTTATTTATTTATGTATACAGCATGTATGACTGCAGGCCAGAAGAGGGCACCAGATCTCATTATAGATAGTTGTGAGCCACCATGTGGTTGCTGGGAATTGAACTCAAGACCTCTGGAAGAACAGTCAGTGCTCTTAACCTCTGAGCCATCTCTCCAGCCCCCAATTTTGTTTTAATGGGTTTTCTGTGTGTGCAAATGTGTGTGCATCAGCATCTGTATGTGCTTCTTGTGTAGTTTCTTTTCATTTTCTGTTTTGGCCTATTCTGATTTGTTTGTTTTTATTTTATGTTTTCTTATTTTCTTCTTCTTCTTCTTCCTATTCTTATTATTTTAGATGCCTGTTTTATTCCAATGAGAGAGAAAATAAAAGGTGTGGGTGGGAAAGTGGGAGCATTGGGGAAGAGCTGGGGGAGTGGAAACCATAAGAATACATTGTGTGTAAAAATCTATTTTCATTAAAAATAATAAATTTATGAGTGGAAAAATTATCTAACTAGTTAAAAAATAGTAATGAAAAGTCTTGAGAGAAAGGGAAAACAGTGAAAAAGAAACATTTCTAATAAGGAGGAATTTTAATGACATGGGATTTTCTTTTGCTAAAAGAGACTATTTTGGAACAATTACTAGTAACTCAGTTATTAGTAGTTTATAGCTATGTTCATTTCCCAGGGTTACTGTTTTCCAGAAGAGCAGCAGTACTTCTTAGAAGTATGAACTGAAATACTTGGGAATTTGGGACATCATGGCCACTAATGAATCTCAATATCTATGCTCCTGGAGGTTGAAACCTGGGATGGATCTTTTCTCAATCCTGGCAGGGGAGATTCTGAAAACTCTTCTATCTTGAGGTCTGGTAATGATTTGTTTAATATGTAGCCAGGATAGAATTGGCTATCATTGCATGTGTGTATATAAGCAAACATGTCTAAGGTTAATTATTATCATTAATATTATTCAAGACATAACCTTGTAGGCACAAAAGGACTGCTGGGACACCATCAGCTGATCACAGACACATGTAGAAAACACTCACGTGTGCATGAATTTCTTGCACCCCACCCAGCTTACCTATATTCAATTCCTTATTTACCACCCAAACCCATGTACTCCAAAAGGCCACATCCCTCAAGCGTTCCTTTAACTGATGCCCTTCAGTTTCAGCACACACTCATGATCTTTGGAACCATAAAGCTGTAGATGTCTGAGAGGACCTCAAAGATTAGCAAGTCCTACCCACTTTTAGAACACGTGAACACAAAGTCTCCTGCACCAAGGAGGTCTTCTGTTTCTTTTAACCTTCTCACCTCAGGGACTGTTTAATCAAAATGCCATTACCAACTCCACCTGGCAGGAACTAACACATTTCCTGGTTGTGCAGGGCACACCTTCTGCTTATATATTCATAAGTAGCTAAGTATTAGTATGTAAGTCCTCATCACCTGTTACTTGGGAATCTTTGTTAACATTAAGCACAGCTCAATACAGTGTAAAAATGCTCACATTGCTTTAGGACAGCCCATCGCATCTGGGCCCAGCAGCTGGTTTACTCAGCCCAACAGAAGAGCAACAGCAAAAGTAACTTTTCTGCCCTAACCACTGATACACATGCCCTGGCTATGAGTTCAGATGTCTTATTAGGCATTGACACATATGGATAAATAAGCTACTCTTTCTGTCTTCACGTGCTGCTCAAAGTTCAAAAGCCTGTTATCTTTCATCAGAGATAATTTCCAAGGAATAAATTATTTTAGCCACTCATTTGTGATACAGGTTTTACAAGGGCAGTCTTCGATAAGGCAAAGTTAAGTAGGCTTAATGATACAAAGTACTTTCCTTCTTATTTGATCATTAAACTGAAAAGAAAAATGTAAGTCAGCTGGTTCAGAGAAAGTTACTATTCAGCAGGCAAGACAGAAGCCAAGAGGCACCTGTAGGAAGCAGTCGATATTCCTTGGGTGACTGACATTTGTTCAGTTTTTTAACACATGGAATACTTTCAGAGAGTCGATCTATAGTCTTGTGGTTTCCATGATGTTAAAATTTGCTGCTCTAGGCATGTGCATATCCTAAGCATTTTCCCACCCAGGAAGACATATGAGAGAAATCCCAGGAAGTTTGAAGCATCTCGTTTTGACCCTGCTAGTGCAATTCACAGTCTGTTCACACTAGTGTCTGATTTCAGCAGCTGGCCCCAACAGGCCAACTATGAAATCTCCAATGCCAGGAGGCAGGAAACTCACTGAGATCGTCAAAGCCACGCAGATGAAGAGGGAGAGGACTGATAGGTAGATCTGGAGCCTCTTCCCACCAAACCGCTTCCTGAGGTATTCTGGCATGGTCATCACCTGCAGAGACAGACGTCAACAGGAATTCACCTCGAGCCTAGTGCATTCAGATGATTTTACATTTGCTCAATGACTTCAGGTAGCTAAGCAGTATGCAAGACATCTTGGGGATACAGATGCAAGAAAGACACAATTCCTCAGTAGAGTGTCAATTATGAAATAAACTCAAGCACCAGAGGCAGAATAACACTATCTTCCTGGCTCTGATGTTTACTACATATTATGACACTTTTGGCAAATGACATTCTCTGAATTTCCCCTCCTTAAAGTAGGGGGTTAGTGCAAAGTGTAAATAAAGTACATGGATGACACTCAACTAATATTTTTATGATTTTTACTAGTAATGCCACAGTACAGCAAAAATAATATTTGTAGGCCGGGCGGTGGTGGCGCACGCCTTTAATCCCAGCACTCGGGAGGCAGAGCCAGGCAGATCTCTGTGAGTTCGAGGCCACCCTGGGCTACCAAGTGAGTTCCAGGAGAGGCGCAAAGCTACACAGAGAAACCCTGTCTCGAAAAACCAAAAAAAAAAAAAAATTGTAAATAATAAATTGTAATATAGTCATATAACAAGTTGATTATTGAGTATATTGTAAGAATATATTAGAGCATGTATTTATATGATTCCCTTTACTGAAAATAAGATTTACAAATATGAACTTAGAAAAAAAGTCTTAACTTTTATTTCTGAAGTAAGAGATTGGTCTTTGGACATCTAGAATAAGTAATGTAGTTTTCTGTGTTTTTCAGAGTGATTGGACTCATTAATCTCTTCTGACATAAAATAAGTTAATGAACACACACACACACACACACACACACACACACACACACACACACACACACATCCTTTTTGTCAAAAATCAAGAAGAAGGGTTCCTAACAGACCACCAATGGAGAGCAGCCCTGGAGAAATGGCCAGCTACAGCCAAAAACAGACATGTGTCTTCTGGGGCATGCGCTCTAGAACCAAGGATAGTATCTTTCAACAGGGATATCAGGAATGAATAAATTTGCCACCTTCTACAGAAGTGCAAAGGAGGGGCAGGGTAGGTTTTCAGACAGCCATCCTGAAGAAAGGCCATTTGAAGACCTGGTGCTTGCTCACTGAGGCATCCTCAAAGCTATACGAGGGTCTGAAGCCATGTTTCCAAAGAACAGGATGCCCATATTGATTCTCACACACATCTCCCTCCTGATCAACCTGCACATCTCTGCATGTACATCCTATAGGCACACACACACACACACACACACACACACACACACACACACACACACACAGAGTTACTCTGTTAATTCATTATTGTCCTGTTCTCCATCTCTGCCTGTTCCCCATAGTTCTTGCTCCATTTATGGAGGACTCATGGATCCTGATCCCCAGAAGTTCAAGCTTCAAATTACTCATATTGCCTTTACCCCGAATCTGCTAACAAACGTGTCATAAGTAACCAAGAAGTAGCTTCCCTTCCTCTCTGTTTCCCTTCCTTGAGCCTCACTTTGAATTGTATGAACTTTTACTATTTTTGAGAGACAGTCTCAGGTAGCCCAGGCTAGCCTCAAAATTGATGTATTGCCAAGCATGATGTTGAACTCCTAATCTTTTTGTTCTTGCCTCCTAAATTCTGGTATTACAAGCACATTCTATACTTCATAGCCAAGATTTCATGAACATTTGTGTCTGTATGTATGCATGTGGAGGCCAGAGGACACCCATGGGTGTTGTCCCTAAGGTACCATCCACCTTGTCTTTTTGAGACAGGTGGAATTTGGTGATTGGGCTAGACTGCCTGTCTAGGGAACCCTAGGGACCTGCCCATCTCTGCTTCTTCAGTGCTGGATTACAAGCACCTGCTGTCATGCCCAGCATTTTTACAGAGGTGCTGTGGGTCAAACTCATGACCTCATGTTTGCAGGGCAAGCACTTCACTGGCTGAGCTGTTGTCCCGGCCCCAGATCGCATGAACTTTTGTTCAAGTCCCTTGTCCACTCAGACGCCCAAGTGAAAAGTCATAAAATGGAATCTACTCATGACCCTTGAATCCTTGAAAGCCCTGCACCTCCCATTTCCAAGAGGATATAGAACACTTCAAGGTTTTATTTGTTTATTTTTGTGTATGCATATATACACACAAATACACACACACACACACACACACACACACACACACACACACACACACACACCAAGGTTTGCAAGCGGCGTTCAGAGGAACACTTGCAGGAACTGATATTCTCTTTTCGACACATGGATCCTTGGGACTGAACTCAGGTAATCACACATGGCAGCAAGTGCCTTTACCTACTGAGACAGCTGCCTTATCCTAGGACACTCTTTTTTAAATGGTATCATAGTTTTAAAATTTTCGCCATTATACTAAGTATATAATAACTTTATATCATTGTAATTTTTATTCTATGGTTATGAGTGCTTGCCTACACACATGTCTGTGTACTATATGTGTGCCGTGCCTGAGGAGGTCAGAAAACAGTGTTGGAGTCACTAGGATTGGAGTTACAGACAGATGTTACAGAGTTACAGATGGATGCTGGGAATTGACTCTGGAGCCTCTGCCAGAGCAGTTATACTCTTAACCATTGAGCCATCTCTCCAGCCCCTATATCACTGTATTTTTAGCACACTTTAATTATATAACACAATGGGCATCACTGTGATATTTTCACACGCGTGCAAGCAGACTTTGACTGTCTCCCCTCTGTTACTTTCTCTTGCACAATCCCCTCTTCCACTGCTCACATCCCTCTCCCCAGGTAGGGAAACACATGGAACTTTCACAACTGTTCCCCACCCCCACTGTGCCTACTGACTCCTCTACCTCTCATCACTCTTCTCCCACATAACTCTCTAATTAGCCTTAATTTTTTTTTTTTTTTTTTTTTTTTTTTTGGTTTTTCGAGACAGGGTTTCTCTGTGTAGCTTTGCGCCTTTCCTGGAACTCACTTGGTAGTCCAGGCTGGCCTCGAACTCACAGAGATCCGCCTGGCTCTGCCTCCCGAGTGCTGGGATTAAAGGCGTGCGCCACCACCGCCCGGCTTAGCCTTAATTTTAACTGACCCCCAAATATTCTAGGAAAGAAAGATTTTCAGCTTCCATATATTGATTCCATCATCCAATTTTTCTACCTGAAGAATTCAGCCTTATCCCCCAAGACCAAATCACCACTGAAGCACTTCTCCCAAGACATGCCTGTGATTCCAGCTTTGTTCCCAATTCAGTGATAGACTTAGCTTACATCTACCATGGTGATCATTAGACAGGACCACCATAACCTGGCAACAGACACATTCTCTACTGGGAGAAACTATGGCCAATTTGATTTTTTTCTGTATATTATTATGGCCAAGTACCCAGGTTTCATGATTTAACATAAAGAACAAATAAGTAAATAAATACATCAGATACTTACCCCTGCCTTGATGTAGATGGGGACAAAAAACCACCCCAGAACCAGCAACAAGAGAAACGACTGTAACAAACCAAGGGCAGCGTGAAGTTAAAGGAGTTTGGCTTGTGACTTTGTAATATCATGACCTCTGAAGCTCTAGACAAACCAACCTTATCACTTTGCTTAGCTCCTGTTTAATATAGTATTATATAATATAATACCTACTATGTGGCAAAACAAGCAAAAGATAAATTGTATTTTAATTCACCTGACTAAGATGAGATTATACAACCTTTGTCAAAATAATGGTCTTAGATGGGCAAATTATACATGAATGTCAAAGCACTGAGAAAAAAACTTAGGAAAGAAAAAAAATATCCTCAGGTCCCTTTAAGTCTTGCCAAATACAGATATCAATATAATTTGGTATTAAAATGCAGATTTTTATGACATCTCTATACATAATACTGTTGTTCTTGCCACACTAGTGAAGCCAGTCTAAAGAGCAGAGTTATCAGGGTCATATATAGGAAGGATGTGAGCTTCATCAAGATTAAAGAAATTCAAGGTTAAAAGCTACAAAAATATAGATGTCTGCAACGTGATAGTGATATACATTGGTTTAGAGGTCTTTTGTTCATGCCTCTGGAGGCAGCTTCATTGTACAGTTCATGGCACTATCAGATTAAATCCCAGGCCACAAGGCATATCAGGCCAAAGCCTGGGTAGGAGCCTGGTATTTCTGAAGTAAAAATAGGCAAAAACAAAAACAAGTCAAACTTCAGCATTGGAAAGGCAGAGCCATTTGTGAGGGGCCCCAGAGTCACTTCCTGAGTCCATCTAGGACAGTTTGTTTAAAATTGCACTGGAGTCCAACTTTGTCTATTCTACCAATATACACATATACAAGAACATTGGAAAGGGTAAGATGGGGCCTGTGGGATGCTTAGTTGGACAAAGTACCAGCTGATCAAGCCTCATAACCAGAGTTTATTTCCTGGAGCCCATGTCAGAAAAAAAGAACAGACTCCTGAAATGCGTGCTCTGACACGCACTGTGGAGAACAGTGAAAAGGCAGGCTCCTCATGAGCTATGTATGATGTTCTCACCACATGCCCGGCTGTGTGCTAGAGTGATGTGGGTGGAGGGAAGCCATGTTCTCTGTTCTGAAGAACTTAGGGTCTAGTTAAGGGATGCAGCATCTGTAGAATGGTAACAGGTCGGTTATGAAGTCCCATAGATTTGGTATGTCATCTTTCAAAACATTCATTCCTTACTATAGTGCCAATGTCCCCTCAGGCCTAACTTGGGTTTCTTCATCCTTCTGGCACAAGCATCCGTAAACCCTCATGGTATGTGCCAAAAACCCTTATTGTCTACGATGGATATACCTCCTGTGTGATCTCTATTTTAAAATGATTTTTGAGAATTGTTTATGCATACTGTAGCCCAGTCAATTCCTCTTCCCTCTCCATCTTTTCCTGTGCCCCTCCCTCTCATGACCTATTTTCTTTAATTATTGGTGTGTATATGTGTGTGTGTGTGTGTGTGTGTGTGTGTGTGAGAGAGAGAGAGAGAGAGAGAGAGAGAGAGAGAGAGAGAGAGAGAGAGAGAGAGAGAAAGAGAGAGAGATCTCTGCTCAGTCCATTTAGGAGAGAGAGAGAGAGAGAGAGAGAGAGAGAGAGAGAGAGAGAGAGAGAGAGAGAGAGATCTGCTTAGTCCATTTAGTATTGCCGGAATGTATGTGTGTAATGCTGACCACCTAGGACTGTTTGACCTACCAGGAAAAAAGGCACAGGGAAACATTTACATGGTGTGACCTCTCAATGTGGCAAATGCTTCTGTCTCTGTGCCTTCCACACTGTAGTTAGTGCACGCTTGTCTGCTCCACTGGATGACAAGCTGTGTCAAGAAGGGGGCATTGCTCTTCCTGTTATTTACCTATTTATTTATTTTGAGACTGGGTCTCATTATGTAGTCTGGCTGGCCTGGAACTCACTAGGTAGACCAGATTGATCTCCAACTCACAGAAATCTGCCTGCTGCTGCCCCTGTCCTGCCCCTGCCCCTGCCCCTGCCATCCAGTGCTGGGATTACAGCCCAAATGCCTGAGCTACTTATTAACCTTTCAGTGGGTCTATGGTGTGCACACATAGGTGCAGAGGCCCAACACTGATGTTGGGAATCCTCTTCAACTGCTCTTACACCTGATTCTTTGAGGCAAGGACTCTTAATCAAACCAAAAGCTCCAAATACAGCTCTTCCCACTACCCAAATTGTCAAATCCCTTGTTTCTACCACCGAGACTGGAAATGCAGGTGGGCTGCCATGTCTCCTCAGTGTTCTAATGGGTTCTAGGCATCTGACGTTCAGTCCCCTTGCTTGTGTAGCAAGTATATTCACCTTGGAGCCTCTTCCCAGCATGTTTTCTTTGACTTAATCTTTACTTCTACTTCAGGAATGAATATAGAGTGTGACATCAACAAAGAGACATAAAAGCTCAAATAGTCATAGGGACCAAGTGAAAGTGAGGCTTGAACTGAACAGAAATGAAATCCTGGTAGGAATAACTACTTAGTAGAAGATTGAAGTTACAGAAGAGCTCAAGGACAAAGAGTGGACTAGCTGAGGGGGAAATAAAAACCAGAAGAAAAAGAGTACAATCTGATACAGACTTCCAGGAAAACTGGGGATGAAAATATCCAGACATGGATTTGACTTAAAAGAAAAAAATGTATTTGCTATCACTTACATGTGATTCAAATGCGGTAACAGCAATTCCTGAAGCTGCACCTGTCCCAGCCAGGCCCACAAAGTGGCCACTGCCAATGTTGCTTGCAAACAGAGAGGCACCCATCTGCAAGGCAAGCAATTAGACTAAGGTTAGATTCAAAAGATTGAATTCTTTTCCATGGAAACAGGTAGGTGTTCAGATGGGTCAGTCACTACTTCTTGGAGCAAAAGCAGCAAATGATTATGCATGGAAAAAAACTTGTCTGTTACCAGTTATTCTGTGACCTATGAGCCAGGAACACCTTTCACACTGTGAATAGTTTAAAATGGTTTTTAAACATCTGAAGATGTTTAAAAGTGAGATGTACAAATTTACAATTAGGTGAAATATAAAATTTAGTGTCCATCATATGTGTGCTGAAATACAGCTATTATTCTCCTATGCCACAGCATACAGATTACAGGTGCTTTGTGTTGCAGTGACATTGCCGTGTGGTCACAACAGACTCTGGCCTTTAAAGCACAAGTTACTTACAATTAGGCCTTTTACAGAAAACCCCAACGAACCCCGCCTTATGGAACCATCAATGTGTCCCTCTATGCATTCTGTTTGCAGCCTCAAACTTCCAGGTCTCCTCCCAGTGCTTGACTCTTACGTAGTAACAGACTCCAAAGTTGCACCATAGAGAATTCCCTGTTCTCCCAGCCATGGCACCGTGTTCCCATTAGTTACATTTTCCCCCACACTGATTCCTGTCAATAAAGCCAAAGATGAAAAGAGCTCTTCAATGGGCAGAGACGAGTGCTAGTCTTAAGAACAGAATTAGATGTGAGATCCTGCAGGGCTGTCATTGCCTTTGTTCTATATCCCTCTTTACAATCACTCCTTGCATGAAGGTGTTTGGGATGGGTCAGGGAGGGATGGAGCTTGATTGCGACTCTAGGATTAGTTGAGAATTGCATGTTTCACAAAAAGAGCAGGAGGAATGTTATGTCTGGTAGATTGTGTGCCCTGAGTAAATCTGTTCCTACTATCCCCACCAGATTGGTTAATTCCATTTCCTTTTACGGTATTTAGACAAGGTAGAAGATCTGTTGAAGGGAACATTTTCTGAGCACTCACTGTGTGTTTAACCCAACACTGCCACTGTAGATTCACAGAGGAACATGTCGCCTCTACCACAATGAAAAATCTGCCTGAGGGAGCCATATACCAAAATTCAGAAACAATATCTGGTGGGCAACTGTCCAAGAGAATCACTGTCAACATCACCACAGAAAACATGGCCTGCAATCAGTAAATGTGTAGAAAAGAACACGATGTTCTAGGCAGGACTGGAGTGATCAGGGAGCAAGCTGACACTGGAAAGAGAAGATAATTTCCCAGAGATGAGCATGGTTAGCTCAGGATTGGGAGCAGAAAAGGAATTCAGGGAGCTAATAGAAGCTAAGAAGTTTTTTCATGAGAACCAAGGAGAGGCACATGACAGAACTGAGGTAGGTCTCCTGCAGCTAGACTAAAGCTGCTCTCAACTGATTATATGCTATAATCTTTCTGGGATCCCAGGTCACAGTCTTGAAGTGGAGGATTATTATAGGAAAAAAAAGCAAGTTGGCAGGTACCCCTGCTGCCACCCTGAGTTTTCTATCAACGTGTATCTCCAGAAACTTCTGACTCACCGGCCACCAGGTCATAGCTCGACCTGCCAGGAAGAAGCCTCCAACAGTGCTTCTGTTCGTCTTCAACATTGCCTGAGCAGAAAGGAAATCATTAGAGGGCTAGAAACAATAGGTGCACCCCCAAGATTGAAGAGACTCCCCAGTCGCTCCACACAGCATGCTGACATTGATATCACAGAGAGACATGCTTTTCTAGACAGAGTAACTCAGCATTAGTTTTAATGGACATAAAAGTTATGATTTAGTAATGACTTAGAGGACTTCAAGAAACTATATTTGAAAACCTGATGTTTATTTTAGTTTATGAAAACAATGTTAGGCATCTCTAAAGCTGTCTTTGGAAGAAGATTTTGAGCTACAAACTGAATACTACTGAAAAGAAGGAATGAAGAGAATACAAATGATCTGAAGTTCTCACTCAATAAGTGAGAAAATAAACAGCAAAGGGAAGTCGTTAAAATGAGAAAGAGAAATGGCATTTGTGTTTTTGATGACAGGTGCTGGGCATGCCAAGCGGAGCAAGCACCTGACCCTGGTTCTGTCCAAATAATGGACTTGCTGGGAGAATGAATTAATTCAGTGCTACCATTATTCATGCCACACACAAGCAAATTATTCAGACAGAAAGACAATGATACTTGGAAAATCATTGCCTCAACTCATTATTCTACACATCCACCATGACACGTTTTCCCCTGCAATCTTAGTGCCCACCTAGAGATCCTGCTGGCTCCCACATACTCCCAGTACAAGATGTCTTTCCTTGCAATTTTTGTGCCCTCCCAGAAATCTCACTGGACTTCCACATACCCACACTCCAACAGCTATCACCACCACGAAATAGATGACAATGACAGAGATGTCAGCAGCATTATTGATGTTCTCTGACAGTGAAGACAGTTCTGAGCTGGAAGTGCTGGTACTGGAGCTTACTGTGCTGGCCATGGCTGTAGGCAATGCTGTCCCCATTGCAAGCATTGGCACTTCTTTATATAGAAGTACTATGTTAATGATCAGCCTCGGGTAGGTGGGGAAAGATATCAGAGCCAGCTTCTTTCCACAGGAGACCTTTAAACCTTTCCTGTATGTTCAGGCTCTCACCTTACAGTGACTAGTTCTGGCTTCAGTGGAATTTGGAAATCAAGGTGAGAATCCAGAGATGAAAATGAGAAGTGGAGATGGAAAATGATGTGAGAAGTATTTAAGAAAGAAATGTGTATTTTGTGGTAATATGTTGTGTCCCCCAATATATTGTGCACCCTAATAAAGCTTATCTGAGGATCAGAGGAAAAAAACAGCCACTATATTAAACACAGAAGTCAGGCAATGATAGCACACACCTTTAATCCTAGCATTTGAGAGGCAGAGATCCTTCTGGATCTCTGTTAGTTCAAGGCCATACTGGGAACAGAGCCAGGCATGGTGGCACATGCCTTTGATCCCAGCACTAATCCTAGACGTATGGAGGTCTGTACAGACAGACGGAAAGTGATGTAGCAGGGCAGAGAGAGGAAGTGAGATGCAGAATAGAATGGCATCTAGGCATACAGGAAGTAGGTCTCTTTGGAAGCTGAGGAGTTGGTGAGGTGAGGTTGGCTGTGGCTTGTCCTATTCCTCTGATCTCTCCGTTTTTCACCACAACATCTGGCTCCAGGTTTTTTTATTAATAAGACCATTTAGCAATTCATCTTACAGTATTTAAGACAGTTGACTAGTACAAGGGAACACAAAGTGGAGATAAAAAGGAAGATAAGGGAATAGGGACATAAAGAGAACAGGATAAAAAGTCTTGTGGGATACATGGTACAGTTTCTTTATCAGACATGAAATTCCTGGCTAAACTTGTTCCTTGATACTGAAATTACCCAGAACAGGTGGACTCGGTGGAGGTCACAGGCCACATCAAGACCCCAGCAGCCTGTGTAGAAAGGGAAAGTTACTCCACCCTTACCTATGCAGAGGGTGTGGACAAGGCTGGGAGGTGAGTGAGTCAGAGGTGTTGAAGTGTGAATGAACCTACAGCCATGTGCTGGTGATCCTCACGGACCAGCATCCTGGATACTCTGAAGACACCTGCTTAGCATTGGAAGTACCGTCTCGGAGCATTCTTCTCCATGGTTGTACATTTAAAATGCATGACATAAAACTTACCTCTGTCCATTGTAGAAGCTGACAAAGATTTCTCCCCTGTTCCATAGGTTGCCTCTTCAATTCACTTTCTTTTCTCATGCAGGTGTTCTTTAATTTCTTCAATTCCCATTTGCCTGTTGCCACCCTATTTGCTGACTAAGGGGAGTTCTATTCAGAAGGTCTTTACCTGGGCTTGTATCTTAATGTGTCTCTCCTCCATTTTCCTCCAGCAGTTTCAGACTTCCATGTCTTCGGTTAAGGTCTTTGATCCATTTGGAGTTGATTTTGTGTAGGGTTTTTATTATAAGACCATTTAGGATTTGTGCAAAAAAGGGTAAGTGAGATATGGATCTAGTTCTTTTCTTCTACATGTGGATATTCAGCCTCCCCAGCAACCTTTTAAAAATTTAGTAACTTTTTTTCAATACATTATGTTTATGGTCATAGTCTCCCCCCCCCCCAAACTCCTCACTGCTCATTCCCACCTCTCTACCCATCCAACTTCATTTTTCTCCCTCTCTGTCTCTCCATCTCTCTAAAAAAAGGAAAAAAATCAGGAAAACTACTGAAAACCAAAAATCAAAACAAATAAAAAACAAAACAAACCAGAGTCCATTGTCTCTTGACCTACTCCTCGTGGGCATGAGCCTGCCCTGCAATGTGGTTGACATACTCAGTGACAGTCCATTGGAGAAACTCCTTTTCCTTCCCAGCAGGTATCAATTGCAAACAGCTTCACAGTTAGGAAGGGGACTTTGTGTCTCTTCCCGCTTTTCAGTGCTGGGATTTTGTTTGCTTTGGCCCAGGCAGGTCTTGTGCATGTCGTCTGTCTCTGAAGATCTGTCAGTCTCTGAAGAGTGCCATCGATTTGGCATTCTTCTCCCTCATCTACACCTATAATTCAAAGGTTTGGGTTTTTTTTTTAATCGTTTCCCACATTTGCTGTATGTTTCTTTCCTGTGTGTTTTTTTAATTAATTTTTCATATTTCCTGCCTATTGGGTCTAGATCTTGCCTACTTCATCTTTTCTGACAAAGTCTACTTTTGTTTGAGTCACTTACTTCTAGGAGTTTGGTTTTAGTTTTATACTTGAGTTGTTTGGGTTTTTGATTCTATCTTCATTTCCGTTTGAGTCCTGTTCAGTGTTTCTATCTCCTTACTGAGTTTTGTTCTCAAGGGCTGGAGTGTCTTAGTGTCTTCACCGTTTCCATCAACCCCGTGTTTGTGTTTTCCTGGGCATCACTTGGGCATTTATTCTCCTTCAGTGCTTTCTCCTTAACTTCATTTATCTGTTTCTTTGGGTCTTCATTAAACTCCTTGAATTCTTTGATGGAGTTTATGATTGTTCTTTTCAATTCTTTGCCCTGGGGTTTATCTGGGTCATTCTCATTGGCAAACACTTCTACAGAACTGATAGGTTTTTGTTCTGTTTTGTTTTGTTTTTGGTTTTTCAAGACAGGGTTTCTCTGTGTAGTTTTGGTGCCTGTCCTGGATCTCTCTCTGTAGACCAGGCTGGCCTTGAATTCATAGAGATCCACCTGGCTCTGCCTCCTGAGTGCTGGGATTAAAGGTGTGCACCACCACAGCCCAGCGAACTGATAGGTTTTTGAGAGAAGACACAGGTGTGATCTTTCACATTGTTGGTATTTTCATGATGGGATCTCATCATATGGACTTCTTCTGTTAGTTCCAGATCTGATATGGGCACAACAGTTTGGGAAAGAATAAAGATTGTGTAAGATGGTCTTGCCTAGAGATTGGAAATGGCATGGGTGAAGTGAAGTCAGGTGGACCGAGGAGACTGCGCTGGTGTACAGGATGTCCCTCTTGATCTAAGCTTGGAATGATGGGGGTAAATCTGGCTTGATGGAAAGGTTGGATGTTTACAGGGGAAGGGTCTGTTGGATGAGGGCTAGATAGTGAGTTTTCTGGCAGAAGTTTAGAAATACTAGAGATAGGTTTTGGTACAGGTAGGGGAGTCCAGAGTAGGCTGGGGCACTGGATGTGAGATCTAGTCTAGATCTGGCAGTTACAGAGTAGATGTGGATGGGGAGGTCAGAGAGACTCACTAGACTAGACCCTGGAGAAGGAAGTGAGAGCTCTGGCTGGGCAAAGAGGTTGGATGCAGTGCGGAAGGGACCTGTAACAGGTAGGGTAGACTAGGTCCTTGAAGAAACCTAGAACATAGTTGCAGTGAAGGTGGAGGATGTCCAGAGTATGCCATGTCACTCACTGGATGTGGAATCTGGGACAGATACAGTGGGCTGGGGAAAAGTTGTGGATGGGAATGTCAAGGAGAGTTACTAGGCTAGAGTCTGGTAAAGGACATGTGAGAGATGGCCGGTGAAGAGGTTGGACGCAGTTCAAAGGGCCCTGTGGGTGACCCATTCATATGTTTTTAAGGAAAATTCTCACTGATTTACCTGAATGATCTAAATGATCCAGTTCCTATTCCTTATGGTCAAGCTGTGACATTCTGACACACTTCATCTGTTAGTGGGTCCACTGAGGCTTCTTTCCCCTTCTGGATGAATTTTTCATTTCTGGTATTGTTTCAGTTTGATTTTTCTTCAGTATTTCAGTTTCTTTGCTGAATTTTGTTTTTGTATCTGTCTTAAGCTTTCTCTTGCTGTGAAGAGATACCATGACCAAAGCAACTTTTATGAAGGCAAATATTTAATGGTGTGGCTTGCTTACAGTTTCAGAGGTTTAGTCCATTATTGTCATGCTGGGGACCAAGACTGCATGCAGGCAGACATAGAGCTGAGAGTTCTACATCTTGACCTGTAGGCAGCAGGAGGAGAACTGATGAGCTTCTGGGACCTCAAAACCCACCCCCACAGTGACACACTTCCTTCAACAAGGCCACACCTGCCCCAACAAGGCCACACCTCCTAATAGTGCCACTCCCTATGTACCAACCATTCCAACCTATGAGTCTATGGGGGCCGTACCTATTCAAACCACCACACCATGATTAGTCTACTACTTTCTCACTCTACTCTGGATTCTTCCAGATGTCTGTAGCTGTACTCTGCTATTGCTATCTGGGGTTGGGGGCACAGCCTCCAGATAGCACAGGGCTCAAAGGGAAAATCCACAGCTTTGGTGAGAACTTGACTTTTTTTATCTGAGGGTTTAGGGAAAAAGACACTCACATACTCTCTTGATGGTTTCCTTCTTTATTCTCTATTCTTTTTTTTTTAAATTTATTTATTTATTATGTATACACTCTTCTTCCTGCAGGCCACAAGAGGGCACCAGATTTCATTACAGATGGTTGTGAACCACCATGTAGTTGCTGGGAATTGAACTCAGGACCTCTGGAAGAGCAGCCAGTGCTCTTAACCTCTGAGCCATCTTGCCAGCCCCTATTCTCTATTCTTATGTATTCTTTAAGGCCTATGTGACAGCAGGAAGGTCCAGCCTCTTCTGATGGACTGACTGGATTGGACTTGACTTGGATTGAACTTCCTTCTTTTTTTGACAGTCACTCAATGGAATATTTATTGATTGTTACACAAAGTATTTCCTCATACCAAAGTTCCCTAACCTTAATTTAGATGTCTTACTGAATGGGAGCATCACATGCCTCCATGACTCTAGTCCTTTATTATGCATTGTGTGCAATACACAATAATACAAGAACTCCAGGTGTGTCTGAGGTGTCTTGTGACCAAAGTCATGGGATGGCCACAAGGCCCCCTCAGCAAAACAATCACTGTTTTCCACAAGAATTCTTCAGGGTCAAGGTACTTCTCAAAAACATTTGTTCATATCTATCCCATACACTGATTCTGCTAAATTCCTACAGAGTACAGGTAAAAATGCTTTGTTTCATGTTTGTG